TACAGCTTAATTTCATTGATTCATTTGAACTAACCAGTTCAGTTCGCAGCCACACACACCTACGACACTCAGTGTTGGAAGGTCCTCTGAAAACTTGCACAGCCATATGGAGAAGTCAAGAGGTACGGGTAACATTCAATATTCGTGTGCTGTAGTCCTCACACTAACTTTGTTAAAGTGACTTAGAAACTCAGGATTTCCAACCATATGAGCCAACTGGGGTTTTCTAGTAATGTAGCACAGTTTTTCTTGCAGGGGACTCCGCAGTGTCTAGCCTTAGCGTTTAGTGGATGGCCTGTAGGTTTGCTATGTTCAGCACATTAGCAGGAAACATGAAAGCTGATTTTGAGCTAAGCAGATCAAGAGATGATAACTTTGTTGCAGGGGTCGTTCAGTCCCACAATCTGCAGCTGTGTCCTATCTATCTGACAGGAACGCGCCCTCATGCATGAACTGCTCTGCTCAACAAAAGGGCCCTGCCTTACCCTGACACCATTGTGTAGGAAATCCTCTTGAAACAAAAAACTGCCACTCGTTCTCCTCTCTGCCGTTCCATGCACTGGACTCCAAGGAAAGGTCTGGGTCGCAAAGGCAGCTTGATTTCTCTGGGTTGCTGCAAGGAAAAGTGTGATGCTTTATTTCCAAAATGAGTGGTGGCCAAGGTTCAAGTTGACTTGGAATAGCTTCCATAGGTTACTGGATTTGTCTTCTTATACATACAGTGGTACCTCTGTACATACGCTTCAGGTTACAGACTCTGCTAACTCAGAAATAGTACCTTGGGTTAAGAATACACACACACACACACAGTGGTTTCCCCCCCTAAAAAATGTTTAGGGGTACTCTCATTTTGACTTAAGAGCATCACCATTTTATAGTTCAAATCGGGAAAAATAAATACAGTAAATGGACAAAAGTACAAAGACTCACAAAATGTTTAGGGGTATGCATACCCCTGCTCTTCCCCCACCCCAAAGTTCTCTCTCTCTCTCTCTCTCTCTCTCTCTCTCTCGGCACTTCAGGCTGTGTGCCTCTGAGTACCTGCAGAAATCCCCCTAGGACAAGAAGTTTCTTTTTTTTCTGAACATGGGAAAAGGGTATTTCACTTGTGAAAGAAATGCAGCTTTGGCTTTCGTGTCTGCTGTCAAAGTAGCCTTTGACTTACTCTTAGCTTGCCTCTTAGCTTGCCTGCCTGTGGCAGTGATGGGGCAGTTACATAGCCACAGAGGTAGCCATAGCTTAGGAAAGCAAAAAATCACTTGAACGTGAGGGGCAGCCTATGCATTGGGCTGTCTTCATTGCATGGCAGCTAGAAGATCAACACTCACAAGCGTGGGCATGCAGTCTTGCTGAATGCACCCTGCAAAAGGGTAGCAGCTACTTCTGTGCCCTTCCTGTTGAGTGGCTAATGCACAGTCACTAACACACAGTGTTTTCAGCACACATGCATGAACACTATCTTCCCATAGACATAAAAATGTAAGATTGTCATCACACTCTGCCGTTTGTGTGGCTTCCATTAGATGGCCATGCCAACTGTAGTGTGAGGGATGGCAGCTAGGCAAAGAAGGAAGCAGTGCTGGTGGCTGGTGGCCTAGGGGAGCTGCTTAACACGGGGGAGGGGGGGCTCCATTAAATGCACCTGCAGCGAGGTTTCATCAAAGGGGTGAGATGCTTCACATAGCGGCTTAGCAAGCTGCTGTGTGAAAGGGGGGAGGGGGTGGGGCTTGGAGCAAGCTGTGAGGGGAGTGGGGAGCTATGGGTGAATAAGGTGCAAAGGGTGGTTGGTTAGGTGTGAGTGAAAGGTGGTGGGGAAAGGTGCAGGTGGGGTTGGCAAGGGGAGCAAGCAAGGGCAACAGCCCCTAATACTACAAAACAATGCAGCTGCCTCCTAGCTGGGTCATACTATCAAATCCCTCCACCTAATCATGTATGTGAAAAAAAGGAAGGGGAAGAATGAGTATGAACATGGGAATCCCGTGGCTATTTCTGCAATCATAGCTGCAGTCTAGTCCATTGGCTTTGACCCATAGTAACCACATTGAGCAGATGAGGTTTAAGATGGGGAAAACTTCCCCAGCACTCAAATGGGTATTTCACTGCAGGCTAATGTTGAGCTCTGCAAACTGCACCTTGGCCTGCGCTATGCTATCGGTGCTTGTGGCCCATCCCTAGTTCACTTTGCTCCTATTCAGCACTCACAAACTTTTTTTTTTTATGATGTGCCCTCCCTCTCCCTTTTTGGTCTTTCCCCTCTTTTGTTCTCCATGTCACCGAATGTCATTCACTTTCTAAAGATGTCTGGCTTGGAGCTTACAGACTGCAGGGCAGCTAAAGCCCACCCATCAGTGCTGATCCAGTCACATCTGCTCAGTCGTGCGACAAGGTTGGGGCTTTTAGAGCAGGGAGAAGCTAAAGTTCACCTTTTTTGCTGCCGAACGCCAAGCAACAAGAGGAGCCCAGTTCTTCGGCGGAACCTTTCACTGTGGCAAGTTGCCTTCTTGTTGGCATTGATTTATATGGATTTTCTTTTGACTTCTAGGTAGCTGATATCGCAGCAGTTGGAATGTGAGGCAGTCAGCACCCAAGGGCCAGCTTCCATGTCTTTTAAGGGGTGTCTTTCTCCCACTGTATGGTGCTCAAGAGAGATGCCTATATGAACCCTGATGTCATGGCCATTTTACCAACATGCATCTATCTATATGGAGTGTTTTTTTATTGGTAAAAATAGCCATAGCATCCTGTTTCACATGTGCATCCCTCTGTATGGGTACCACATTGGCTGGGGAGGGCATAGAAAACTGCAGATGCAAAGATGTCCTCACTTGGAACAGGCAATTTGGACAGATACAAGTTGTATTTACAAATCCCATTAACTCTCAGTAGGCCTTTTCAAACTCAGTCTCCATTTTTTATATTCACTGTTACTAAAAGGATGTTACTGAAGAACGATGTAAACTGCCTTGGTTCTTGAGTGACCAGTTTGCATTTCTGGAGACTGGATAAGCCCTAGAATTTAGAGCTAATCTTGTCAGCATAAGATTTTTCGCACAAAAATACTTCACAGTGTTTTGCTCAAGGTATTTAAAGATTTTTAACAGAACACAGGAGGTAGAAAATGTGTTCAGAAATTGCATCCTATTCATTGTTGCGGAAGCTCTTAAAGGAGGAGGAAGAAGAAGGAATATTTCTGAATGCTGTGATCCTGTTACAGAGTACTTTTTGAGGTTTTATCTAAATTATTTTATAGAAAATTTAGTATGCCTTTAATTCTCTGTATGAGTTATGGTGTGTGGATATGTTGGTTAGCCAAGATGAGACACTTTGATGCCAGGTGGAATTATAACAGATTATCCCAAAAATTATGCACAATATCAGTTGATTTATGCTAAGTTTAAATGATTCTGAAATGAAAAATTAACTTGCATTGTGAATGAGTCTTGTGAGGTGGAAGCAGCTATTATAGAGAAATGCTAAACAATATGTCTAAAGCCATAGTCATAATGCATATCAAAAAGACAGAATACTGATTGCCAAATAGAAAATAAAATCTCCCTGGGTATTCAGATCTTATCTGCTATTAAATGATGGTTTATATGCTACCCATTTGACATGGGAAAGCTCATCACAATTTTAGTAGTGGTAGTAGTAGTAGTGGTAATAATAATAATAATAATAATAATAATGTTATTGTACCCCGGCCATCTGACTGCGTTGCCCCAACTACTCTGGATGGCTTCCAACAAAATATAAAGGAAGACAATAAAACATCAAACATTATAAGCTTCCTGAAACCAGGCTGCCTTCAGTGGTCTACAAAAAGTCATATGGTTATCTCTTTGAATAATCATCTATATATATTGTGAGAAATAGAGCTGCTCTTTCAGTTAGTGGGATGTAATCCAACTTAATTTTGCTCTGAGCAGATCTGTATAATTTAATGAACCTAAAATAGTCATGCCCATCAATTTCAATGGGTCTGCTCTGACTATTGGATACAACGCAATGAATCTGATAAAAGGTTTAAGTGTGTGTTAGTATTCTTATCCTGTGAAGCACTGTGGCTGCACACTGTGCTGTCATTGCAAACTGATACACAGCAATACACAGCTATGATTCACATAGGTTTATAAATCCCAGTGGTGATCAGTAAGAAGCTCTTAGGGCCAGGTGACAGTGGCTTCCAATCCTGGAGCAAGGTTTCCCCTTGATCATGTGCCCCATTATCACTGCCATGTCAACGCTTTCAGCAAGATCCCAACACCCTAAGATGCAGCGTGAAAAAGGTAGACTGTCTGTAACTTGTGGCATACCACTGTGAAGTAACCCACAAGCAGGAACAATTTTGTAACCAACTTTTAGGGAAGTTAGGGAATTTCAGAGCATTTTTCAATGGCAATGCATGATTTTGTACCAGCTGCTCTGGTGACCTGTTCTGTTCACTGGTATAAGCCTAATAGGGATTTTAAAGGCAGTATCAAATGTTAGTCGTACTTAGAGTAGACCCATTCAAAGCAATGCGCTTGAGTCCGCTGATCTCAGTGGCTTTACTCTGAACAAGACTAAGTTGGCCATCACCCAGTGTGTATAATCCAGAACCACCAAAGTCAATAAAACAAATGCTGTCGACTTCAGTGGGATATGGCCTGTGCCCTAAATCAGCAAACCTCAAACAACTAAATCTGGAACTGTTGTTACCTCCTCTTCATGCAGATCATTGGGGAGATCATGGAATGTTTTAAAAGTCAGCAGGAATAATAGAATCATAGAATTGTTGAGTTGGAAGGCACAGCAAGGGTCATCTAAGGCAACCCCTTGCAATTCAGAATCTTTTTGCCCAACATGGGGCTTGAAACCACAACCCTGAGATAGTAAGAGTTTCGGGTTTTTATTGACTGAGATATCCTGACTTCTTTTGAAATGCGACATGTGCTGAATATATTAAAACCCTTCTTTATATAATGCAACTTAATCATTGTCTTCCTCTTAAACAGCCAGAAATGGGTGACTGGAGTTTCTTGGGGAACATTTTAGAAGAGGTGAATGAACAATCCACAGTCATTGGGAGAGTCTGGCTGACTGTCCTCTTCATTTTTCGGATCCTAATCCTTGGGACTGCTGCAGAATTTGTATGGGGAGATGAACAGTCAGATTTTGTGTGCAACACCCAGCAGCCAGGTTGTGAAAATGTGTGCTATGACGAGGCCTTCCCCATCTCCCACATCCGACTGTGGGTCCTGCAGATCATCTTTGTCTCCACTCCCTCGCTGGTTTATTTGGGCCATGCTGCACATCATGTAAGGATGGAAGAGAAAAGGAAAGAGAGGGAAGAAGCAGAGAGAGCTCAGCAAGCTGCGGCACACGAAGAAAACCCACCCCTTGATCCAGACCGGAAGAGCCCTATAACCACGAGAGAAGCAAGCTCCAAGGGGACCAGGAAGTTCCATCTCGAGGGAACGCTTTTGAGAACCTATATTTGCCACATCTTTTTCAAAACCCTTTTTGAGGTGGGGTTCATAGTGGGCCAGTACTTCTTATATGGTTTCCGAATTCTTCCGCTTTACCGCTGTGGCAGATGGCCTTGCCCCAACCTCGTGGACTGTTTTGTGTCCAGGCCTACCGAAAAGACTGTTTTCATTGTGTTTATGCTGGCTGTGGCATCAGTCTCTCTCTTCCTTAATCTTGTGGAGATCAGCCACTTAGGCTTTAAGAAGATCCTGGGTGCTTTCAGGAGGCCAGTGGAGCAAGAGCCTCAGGAGACCCCAGAGAAACCCCTTCATTCTATCGCAGTTTCATCTATCCAGAAGGTCAAAGGCTACAAGTTGCTGGAGGAAGAGGAGAAGTCGACATTCCACTATTTCCCTTTGACTGAAGTGGGAGTAGAAACCACCCCAGTTCCCCCCTCATTCAACGACTTTGAGGAGAAGATCAGCATGGAACGCCTGAAAGACCTTTCCAGGGCCTTGGGGGAGCACCTGCCTTCCTACACTCATGCAGATGAACAGGAGGAGGAGAAAGTTGAAGCAGGAGAGGAGCCGGAACAGGAAGTGGCTGAGGCGGCGGCCCAGGAACAGAGGGTGGAATTGGTGACTGAGGAAGCCCCAGAGAAAGGAGAAGATGACAAGCATATGGAGGAGGAACAAGAGCCAGAGCCGCCGGGAGACGACTTGCCTTTACCATCCGCTGATCTTACAGCTGACACAAGACCCCTCAGCAGGTTAAGCAAAGCCAGTAGTCGTGCCAGGTCAGATGATCTGACTGTATGAGGGTACTGGCTCGAGTGGCTCTGAAGAAGCCACGGAAATACATATATATCTCAGATGTTTCAAAACAAAGTGCTAAACCAGTCATTTTAATATTATTTCTTATCAGTGTTTTTGGCTAGAAAGGTGCTATCAACGCTAACTGCCTTGTCAGTCCTGTTTGTCCTACACATGGAGCTAGCTGTCCTACAGTGACCCATTTAACCAAAGAATCCCTCTTCCTTCACATACAAATGCCTCACATACAAACGCACTATATACAGCACTGACATCCAAGGGGGAAAGCCTTCCTAAGGCAACGAAGACAGACGTAACAACTGCGATCACAATCTGTTTTTATGCTCCTCTTTTCTCCGGGGATGAGGGAAGCCTGTTTCTTCATTTGGTTATCATAAGATATTGATAAACTGTTAACTTGGGTATTTCTTTGTTCGGTGTTTGCTTTGGCCACAACAGTTTTGGTTTTTCCTTCCTTGTTGAGCCTTGAGCGCAAGTTATTTTCCTCACAAAAAGGGATACTGGCAATTAGTATTGTTAAATGAGATCCATTTATCCCCCTGTGAAAGAACGAAAGCTGCAGTGTTTGCCTGTGGAGATAAATGTGGTTTACTTATACTTGTATCCCCTGGTCCAGTTCAGACACTTAACGTTTTGTCCCTGCAATATATCCCAACCCGTCGTTATGACTCCTCAGATACAACAGTGCCTCCTGGGAGCAATTTATGTGGTTGTGTCATGCTGCTGTATTTTTAAAAAACTGGTTCTGAGGGACATGTCAAGGACCTGGGCCACTTATTATTATAATAGCTATTAATTAATTAATTATGTTAAGTTGTTTTATCTTGTCCCAGGCAACCCAAAGCAACTTACAAGCAAATACTGGTTTCTCTTCATAAATGTGGCCTCCAGGACAGAGGAGCACATCATCTAGAGCAGTGGTGTGGAACCTCTAGCTCATGGGCCTGATTTGACCTCCTCCTATGACCTGTGCAACCACTTAGGTCAAGCCATGGCTCACCCACGTATACCTGACACCGTACATCACCATCAAGTGAAGGGGAGGTAAAGGTACAGCTGTGCCGAAAGCCTTGTGTGTTCAGCTGATTGTCGGCACTTGCAAAATCCTAAGCAGTGGAGAACAGGTGTTAAAAACATGACCTGGACTCTGCTACTGATTTGTTTTAGTTACCTTTCTTATACTGTACTACTTTTGCTAGTGGTGGTGGGAATCTCCTTCTGCTTTCAGGGGGCTAATCATCTCTTGCCCCTGCCACGCAGGGAAAAATTTCGATTGCTTTATAGGAAGACATTTCCTTGCATTTTTGAGGGGGAAATCGTCTGCCTTACTTCAGTCAACTTTACAAAGTGGCAAGGGTCCCCCCTCCCTCCAAATAAGTGCTACGGCTCCTTCCTGTAGCTGTGAAGTTCTTCATAGCCTTAGTGTGGCACCCAAACCCTACCCTTCTGCTCTGAAAAAGGAGCCATGCAGGCCCTTGTAGATTCCTGATCCTGAAGAGCCTTGAATTTCTTAGTTAAAGCAGAAACAGAAGAGCGGGGTGGGTCTTGTAGTTTCAACAAACACTTGCAATGTTTGTTTTTAAGTGCAGAAAGGCGGGGACCTTGTAAAGATGAGGCAGTCCCACACCCCAAAATAAATCTTTGCCCATCCCCAGTCTTTGGAAAGTTGTTCCCACCTCCATAAATTACAACCACCACCCCCAACTCCCGCCTGCCAAACCAACTCAACAGCTCAGTCCTAACTTTTACAGTGTGGGTTATGCTGCATTGCGGCTGGGATAACATGGGAAGAGCCCGTGCTAATGCAGAGTCCTCCTCACAACTGTGTTGCTCCAGTTGTATAGTATATAGGCTTCTCAGTTGTATAACATTGTTATGTATTGTATATTATAGTACTGCCTCTAGCAATACCTAGCTGCACATCCTATTGGGCTCAATGGCAAAATACCACTGTCTTTTAATGGATCGGGATTGTGTTGTTTGATGGTAATGCCTTTTTTGTTATAATTTAGCTGGTGGCTAATTGTATGTAACCCTAACAGCAGAGTTGGGAAACCTGTGGCCCTCAAGATGTTAGTTGGACTACAACCCCCATCATCCCTTACCATTGGCTATGCTAGCTGGGGCTGATGGGAATTGAAGTCTAATGAAACCCAGAGCAACACAGGTTCCCCATCCCTGTCTAACAAGATTTCTAGCCAGTGGTGAATGAAAGGCATTTATTGTGGCATGAAAGTTACATCCCCCAAAAAATACATTACTGTGCTTTCCCCTCAGTATATATGTGCTATCGTTGAAGTGCTGGTAGCATACTTCCTACTGTGCAGATTGCATGGTCTACTCTTATTGTCCTGGTTATTCTGGTTCTTGCAGTCTGAACCTATGTAGGACCACTGCAGAATGAAGCTGGTTGGATGTATCTTAGATAGACATGTGTCTCTATTCTAAACCACAATGAAGTGATAAGAATATAAGACAAGGGCCTTGTTGGAGCAGACCAAGGTTTACTGCTGGGTCATCAACAGTGACCTACCACATGCTCCTGAATAGCTCAGGTGGAGTACTGTAGCAAGGCAATAAGTGTATTTGGCATTAAAACCCACCTGTATCATCAAAGAAATTCAAAGGCTTTGGGCGGAGTTCAACTAGTGCCTTTGTGATCATGGATAGGCTTTAGAGCAGGCATAGGCAAACTCCGGCCCTCCAGATGTTTGGGACTACAATTCCCATCATCCCTGACCACTGGTCCTGTTAGCTAGGGGTGATGGGAATTGTAGTCCAAGCATCTGAAGGGCTGGAGTTTGCCTATGCCTGCTTTTGAGCCAGTAGATACATCTGCTAAAGCAGCCTTTCTCAACCTGTGGGTCCCCGGATGTACAACTCCCATGACCCCTAGCTAGCAAGGCCAGAGCTCAGGGATGATGGGAGTTGTAGTCCAACAACATCTGGCGACCCACAGGTTGAGAACCTCTGCAAGAGGAGGGGAGGTAATTTTGGCCAATTCCCCCTGCAGTCTCTCACTACTTTCTGTCTCTTTTGGAGGGTCCTCTCAACTCTCTAGAGCTAATTTTCAGGGGGTCTTGGAGCTCCAGGGGCTATCCACACACAAAACATAGCTCCTCTACAATTAATGGAGGCATCTACTGGGTCAAAACCAGCAACTGGATTTCACTCGTTAAAAAGTCTGTTTCGTTAAACAGGGTGCCCATCTCTAGTGTTGAAAATGTCCACCGCATTCTAGCTAGCCTGAGAACTACGACAAATCTCTTGTAGGCTTGGGCAAAATACAACTTGCATATATCGTGTGTTGCAAGTCAAATATTTTTAAGAGGATGGAGACTAATAACAGAAATGTGCAGGTATGCATTTTCATTGGCACTGCTTTTTCAGTCCTCAGTAGCTCAGCAAATTCTCTCCAGTTTGAAACAATGCAAAGGGCTTGCTGCAATGGGAGGTGTAATCCAGTTCAGAAAATCCCTTTAGCATAAACTGCCAACACCCAGAATGGGCCCCATAGAATTTTTCATAAGATTTGAGGGCTGTTAGCATCTAATTCAGAGGTCAACTGAAGTCAGGGATTTTTTTCTGCATTCATTCCCATGGTTTGGGATCAGGCTTTTAATCCTAACCAAATTCCAATGTATTTTGTTCCCCTATAGAAATCTCCCTTTACAGTTTCAATTGTCTGCTATTGGGGTGGTGGCATCATTTGCTGTCTTACACTTCTCAGCACTGGTCCTGTACTTTGTTTAAATGACTGCCCCAATCCTGTTATAGCTTTATGTTATTAAAATGGTGTCAAAGTCTTTAGTAATAGGGGAGGGGGGAGGAAATCAGAATAAAACTGTTGGGTTTTGGATTTTTGTTTAAATGAAAGACTGAATCTTGAACACATTTTAGAAATATGATATTCTAACAAGAAGTCATTTGGATCAGACCAAGGGTCTATCTAGTCCAGAATCTTGCTTCTAAGAGTGACTCAAAAAGTAAGTAAGGCAGATGAGATTTTAATTTCTTACAAATGATATAAAAATGATTTGCCATGATAATGAAGAAGACAAATGTTAGGGCTGGTTCACACAGAGATCAAAAGCAGGAAGAATAATGATATCATATACAAAATAAAAAGAGCTCCAAGTGACTAGTTTCATCCCTAAAAGGGAAATAATTTTGGTCAGAACATGAGACAGCGGGTGGCTTATTGGCAAATTGTAACTCATTTAATAAGCAACCCACTATGTTGGTGCCTAAGTTGAAGAGACAATAAGTTTTTAAGAATTAATGATAGAAGATGATATCATTCTATGTGTGTTTTATGTGTTCTTCCTTTTTAATAACTTATAATGTTTTTATATGGTTTTGATTGAGTTCTCTTTTTTTGTAATTTGTCTTTTGCAAATTGTTTTTGGTGAAAATTGTGAATAAAGATTGAACTGAACCCATAGTGGCAGAAAACATTATGAACTGTCTCTACCCTTGTGGGAAGACCAAAGAGAGGTTGAAGGATTTGGGGATGTTTAGCCCAGAGAAGAGACCAACCATTAAGAGGTGTTAGACATCTTCAAATACAATGGTGCCAATTGGTTTTCTATTGCCACAGGGAGTTGGATTCAAAGCAATAGGTCCAAATGGCAAGGAAACAGGATATAGAGTCAGCCATAATCACCAGAACCATCAACTGTTTATGTCTCAAGAAGATACTGTACAAATTGGACCTCTAATCTGATTCATTACAGTAATATGTTTATACTAGTCAAAGCCTTCAAAACATTGTCATTTAAAAAATTTTCTATGATAATCATCCAGGGGGCCATATAATTAGTACCATGTGGTAACCATAGTCTTTCTTTCTCTCTCTCTCTCTTTTAGCAGTTCTGTTTGCTGGTTGACAATGCACTTTTGAAAACAGAATGTCAAAAGAGGTTTGTGATGAGCACAAGGACCTGCTGTTAGAAAAAGCATACTGGTGTACTTTGTGAAAGTTATTCCTAAAATGACTGTTGTCTTGATTCACCGTGGCCAATGTGCAATTGGCAATGTGCACTGGAAGACTTGCAGCATTGTCCCAACATAGTTTGCTGCACTGAGCAAAGCTATTTACTTATTAACCTGAAGAATCCATATTAATTTAGGCAGGGGCGTAAATAGCTGCTCCGGCCCCCGGAGCGGTGGGAGCAGGGCGATCCGCCCACAGGGGTGCTGCGGCGATCCGCCCAGGGGGACAGTGTGGCGAGCTGCCCATGGAGTCCACCTGGCGGATGCAAGCCCCATGCTGCCGTTTCAGGCAGCGTGGGGCCCCGAGCCACTGTGTCACTCCCAAGAGAGACGCATGGCTCGGGCATGCTGCAGGCCAGGCCCTGTGGTAAGTGATGCTCCCCCACGGTGTGCCATTTTGTCACCCCCTCAGGGATCGCACCCCCCGCACCCCACTTCCTACGCCATCTGCATGTCTGTAAAGAAGACACATTTGTCCTTAAATCTGCATGTGTGTTTGAAAATGTATATGGTTCAGAAATATCTATTTTTTATTTTAATATGCCCTTAAAAATGAGGTTGAACAATCTGGTGGAGTGTTTTCTTGTGGCTGTGAAAAGGTAAGTCTTAGGGTGCTTCCAGACTTTATTTTTGCAAATGGCTAATTCAGATAAATTTTTGGCCCATTACCTTCCACACATTCCCATTCCCCCACATTTATAATATTCATTGCTATTCTGTCACGTGTGATCCATAGCAGTGGGCAAAGCTCATCAGAATGTATCTGTGTCCTTTGGAGGGAGCATCGCAGAACAACTGTTAAAGCAGGATGATGTGTGCATGAGCCAGTACAAATCCACTTCAAATGTAGTATTAATGCACCTCCACAAACACCTGCAACAATACAGCAGTCTGGATGGGGCCTAAATCTACTTGAGCATAGGTTGTGTGTCTCTTCGGCATCTAGGAGCTGAAGATCCTTAAATGGCTGTGTTGTAGCTTTTATCATTGGTACCAACGCCTGGAAAGGATAGGCAGTTTGAGGACACACTGATGATTCAGTTGTTTGTGCCACTTTTCCAGAACTGATCTTGAGAAAGCAACAGGCAGGGTGGATTAACAATCACACAGCAGAAGAAGTGAATTTATTTATTTTTTGGTGTGAAGGGGTACGCTATCTGGACACAACACTGCTATCGCATTCAGCTCTCCAAATTGCATACAGTGGTACCTCGGGTTATGAACTTAATTCGTTCTGGAGGTCCGTTCTTAACTTGAAACTGTTCTTAACCTGAGGTACCACTTTAGCTAATGGGGCCTCCTGCTGCCGCCACGCTGCTACCGCACGATTTCTGTTCTCATCCTGAAGCAAAGTTCTTAACCTGAGATACTATTTCTGGGTTAGCGGAGTCCGTAACCTGAAGTGTCTGTAACCTGAAGCGTATGTAACCCGAGGTACCACTGTACATGTTTCACAGCCTGATGCAGAACAGTACATGGCAACCCCCAACCTGCAAGGAAATGTGCCACGTACCTAAGGCTGTCCACATCATCTTGGCATGTGTGGCTGAAAATCTCAAAAGCACAGCTAGCCTGCAACAGCTGTCTCAGTTCATCCTCCCCATTAGTCTCTCAAGCAGGAGGGAAGAGAATATGGGGTGTGGACTGAGGTGTACCCCATGGAAGTAACAACAAGCAACACGCTCTTACTGGTATTTGCTAGAGGGAGAAGTCATCAAATTAACCCCCCTGCCCGCAATACACACAAAACGAAGGCAACTCTGGTAGTTTTCCAGATTTTTCGTGTATGCTAACAATATATTAAGTGTAATTTTAAGTTCTTTTCCAAATTCTGTTACTTTCTTGTAGTGTGGCTTCCCTATTGACTCTCATGTTGCCACGCTGTTGATTTCATTTGTGAAGAAACAAAAATGGAATGTGATTATTGCTCATTTATATTGGGGGAGGGTGGGGAAACTCTAGGAAATGAACCTGGACAACTTTGAAATGCACTAAAAATTTCAGCTTCCTACAACTTGCAGTAATGGGGCTGGGTTACAGTTGAGCTGAACAGGCGAAAGTCTGAGGAGAATGGAAGTTTGGACAATTGTTAAATTATTATGATTCTGGGCACTAGAAAGTTTCTTTCTTTCAAACAGTGGAAGATGACCAACGCATCCACTGAGGATTATATCAAACCCATCTGGGTTTTGGTGAATAGTGGATCCAGGATGGGTGAAACACACTATGCCCACTGAGGCAAATTCCCATCACCATTGTTACTGCCTCATCCCTCCTCCTTGACCTGCTATTTTTTTCTGAAGACACCCTAAGGCAGAACAGGGTTGGAGGTAATCACTGCCTGAGGCAAGTGCCTTATTTTGCCTCATTATAGAACCAGCTCTAATCGTGAGTGCAATAAAATGATTGCTATATTAGGTGTTCCCAGTAAATGAAGTGAATATGAGCTCCAAAATTAGGCAAATGAGTCATTTCTATAGCACTGTACAGCCTTTATCTCATTCCTCTTCAGAACGTGATATTGATCGTTATTATTCCAAGTTCACAGAAAGCAAACTGAAAGTTGCAATCAAGTGATTTGATGTTCAAGCAGGGCTACTGAACTTAGGCTCCTTAGGTCAAATCCCAATGTACCACCCAGTAGACCACATTAGTTCTCTATTACATTGCTGTGCACAGCAGGTGAATTTCACGGGCTACAGAGTGAGTTTATACAAGGTCTGTTCAACGATCCCAGACTCCCATCATTCACTTTCTTACTGAACATGCAGTTTTACATTTAAAAATAGACCATATTTGATGCCGGAAAAGCAGCAATGTTGCTGTTCACAGACAAAGCTGCCTTTCAGAGTCATGACGGAGAATAATCCCAACGTGAGCTCTTCTTTGTTTGATAAAACAGGCACATAAATGAAAATGCTGGTCTCTTCAGCAACTCTACTCCATAGAGGGTAGGGAAGGGGGCTTGATGATGAAAGTTTTTGGTGCACACAGATTCTATCAGTTAAACCTGTTCAGATCCATAGGACCTAACAGGACAAGAGAAATCACTTTATATCATCTTAAGTGTTCTAGGTTTTAGGTGGTAAGGGCCACTTATGTAGGACAATGAATTGCTTTCCAATAATAAAATGCTTTTATTTTCACTGGTAAAGCGATACTGCAAAAAGAACATTCATATTTTTCCACAAAACATTTTGCATTTTCACAGCAGTGTTGTATATTGATGAACATTGTAAGTCAGAAAACTTGTAATTACTTCTGTGCAATCTGTTTAGGTCACTCAGCCTTTGTATTAAGAGTTTTTTTGGGTGTTTTTTTTTACAACTACAGAAGTGCAATTTTGAAAAGTGTTTTTAGAATCATTATTTAAATGTTTAAAAATTTAAAGACACAGATTTTATCTATTTTTTGATGTTTCAGTATTATTGATTAGTTCGTACTGATACAATTGTATTGAGGCCTAATAACAGCTGGAAGTTTGTTTAATATCCTGGCTTGTTGTGAAGCTTGTAACCAGTTTCCCAGTTGGGATGTAATGGATAGCTATGGTTAAGCTTGCTGGTTTAACTGGTTGGATTGTGAAGGGAAGAGTTGAAGGGCTGTGTGCATGGGACAAAAGAGTTGCCAATATCTTAGTTTATAATTTATATTTGGGTTTATTTAGGGCAGAGCATTTGCCTACTTGCATACTATAATCCCATGGTGCCATTCAGATGAACAGATTACAGAAACCTTTTCCTCCGACTAGATTTTCCCTTGGGAAATGCTCTAACTCTTGGGTTTTCAGCAGTGTTCCATGTGCATGCATTCTATTACAGAGAGCAAGGAATGTTTATGACAGAAACGAAGATTTCAAGAATTATTATCAAGACACCTCCAAAACCACAATGCAATCTAGACTAGATATTAAGAGGACCAGCAAATTTTTGTTGTGATTGATGACATCTATGCTATAAACAACTTCACAATGGTTGTGAGCCTCTATTTTCAAAGAAAAACAAGGAAATGCACTTGGAAAAGTTTGACAGTGTAGTCAATCTTTAATTTCAAAGCCCCATATTTAGTCCTGTTTCTCAAGTACTTTCCCCTTTTTCAGACCCTGCTTTCTTCTTTTGTGTAAAGGCAAAGAACAATTAACTTGAGCCAATTCTGTGAGGTTCCGACAGCCCACTCTGAAAACCCCATTCATCTTTTGTTTAGTCGTTTAGTAGTGTCCGACTCTTCGTGACCCCATGGACCAGAGCATGCCAGGCACTTCTGTCTTCCACTGCCTCCCGCAGTTTGGTCAGACTCAGGTTTGTAGCTTCCAGAACTCTGTCTAACCATCTCGTCCTCTGTCATCCCCTTCTTTTTGTGCCCTCCATCTTTCCCAACATCAGGGTCTTTTCCAGGGAGGCTTCTCTTCTCATGAAGTGGCCAAAGTATTGGAGCCTCAGCTTCATGATCTGTCCTTCCAGTGAGCACTCAGGGCTGATTTCCTTAAGAATGGAGAGATTTGATCTTCTTGCAGTCCATGGGACTCTCAAGAGTCTCCTCCAGCACCATAATTCAAAAGCATCAATTCTTCGACGATCAGCCTTCTTTATAGTCCAGCTTTCACTTCCATACATCTCTACTGGAAAAACCATGGCTTTTACTATACGGACCTTTGTTGGCAAGGTGATGTCTCTATTCATCTTTACAACAACCTATTAAGACAGGGGTGGCGAACTAGATCCAGCCAGCAAGCCAGATCCTAGGTTCTCCCAAATCCAGGCTACCACTTTGACAGTCGGGTGATAAATTATTCCTCTGTGGTGTGGCAAGTCGCACTAGAAAAGAAAATCCAAGCTAAGTGAGCCTTGAAGCTACAGCCTATAAAATGACAGGCAGTGACTTTAGCCCTGCTTTCAACAGGCATCCTTCCTATGGAACTCAGAAGCACAGCCAATCCCAGTAGGTTTACTCTCATCACAGATCAGCAGTGACAGCAAACCTCCTTTCCCAATACACAACCAGGAGTGCACTTTAAGGCTCCCAACTGCGCATTAGCAGCTGCATCTCTACCTGCCCCACACCTGAAATTAGGTCTGCAGGCTGGAGGTTCCCCACATAATTTAAGATAATGCATTTATCCAACTGCAAATACAGATGTGAAATTGAGGCTGAAAAGGGAGCGTAGTGCAACTTAAATGATTGATTTAAGTAGATAATCAGGCTGTGAGACTTTTAAACAAACCACAAAGAGCTGACAGATTTACCCCTTTTCAAGTCTAATCTGTGCAGTTCACAGACTCCCTCACCCACCTCGACCTGTCACATATAAATACATCCACTTCTCAGGTATGCTAGCCAATGTGCACATAAAGCCCGGTACAAGAAGTTTGCACTTCACCCGGGGATTCGATTTCTGGTTTGCGAAGGCCGGCAGCCCCGCTGCCTGCACTCTGTATAAATCGGGCCTTTGTTCAAACCAGCCTTTACTTAATGATCACCCCGGGACACCTTGAATAAAATCTCCAAATAAATTGCACGACAGCACATTTTCTTTTCAGATAGGAGCAGGTGCATTAAAAAAAAAAACAGCAAGCAAGCGGCATAAAATGAGATTACACAAGAGTCAAAAACAACCGGCAGATAGATTTGCAGAGTCCCTTTCGTTAACCGGAACCCCAGTTGTTGGAGAAGCCCGCCGGGTGCCGTCCCTTAAGGCGCCTCCAGCGACCCGAGCACTCCCAGCTGAAAGGGAGCCGCTGTCGCCCTACGGGCGTAGCCAAGGGAAGTGGAACAGGGAGGGGCAGCTGCCCCACCCCTAAATCCATAAAAGTGCGTAGCTAACTAAGGTAATGCTCCCCGCCAACAAAAATCCTGCCTACGCCCCTGCGTCGCCCTCCTCTCAGCCTTTGCACGCCTCGCCTCTTCCCCGCTCGCTTCTTCAGCTCTGTCCTCCTGATCCCCCAAAGCCTCGCCTCTATGGGACTCGCGCAAGTTTAATACCGGAAATGCAGGTTATGTGAGCGGCTCTAATTTCCTATCTCTAAGGCCCCCTCTTGACCCTCCCAGCTATAAACATGTATAGATGTATGGTGGATGTCTCTATATATTTAGACCCTGGTTTGCCTTTCTTCTCCTGGGTTGCAAATGAGAGTTACCCATAGAAAGCAACGGAATGCTCTCTATATATTAAAAAATAAATATATATTACAAAAAACCCTTTTCTGTAATATTTGCTATTGGGCAGAAGCGTGTTCCGCTTTTCCGAAGGCAGCAGCAGCAGCATAGGCAGTTCATACCTTCCCCCAGCAGGTTAGATCTACAGTAATTTCGTTTTATTTTATTTTAGGTGGTTGGGGAAACCACCTAAAGAAACCGGGAAGTTCCATCTCCAGAAAAGGCGATGAGCTATTCTTTTCATTTCCTATCTCTATGTCCTATGACTCCATGGCCCCGCCTCCCCGATCGTGGCGCTCGGTAATGAGGCAGCGGAAAGGGGGCGGGGCCAAGCCGCGCCGCTCTGAGCTAACGCTCGCGAGCCCGACTGAGTAAGGGGAGAAGTGGCCGTTGGGACTTGGGGAGGGGGAGAGGTTGAGTGTGTGTGAGAGACGCATCTCTCCCCTTCGGGAGGGTTTTCTCTCCACTATGAGCTTCCTGATCGACTCCAGCATCATGGTCGTATCTCAGGTAACGAGGCCCCCGCTCCTTCCCTCTCCCCCCGCCATGCAGCCACAGCTATGTTACCCCCCCCCGAAAAAGGAGTTGGAACTTCCTAGTCTCATCCCACTTAGGCAGAACGAGGCGATAGGAAGGTGGACGGGACCACTTCCGGCTGCAGGTGAAGGAGGATGGACTGTACCATTTTTGAAAGTGGGCGGGGGGAGAGACCCACATTTTCCAGTGCTTCAATATGCTGAGAAAGAAAAAAGAGAGGCAAACCCGGTGGCACAGAAGGGATTGGGCTGGGTTGGAACTTCTCTGCTTGCAGAGCTCTATCTTTCCAGGTTTTTCACCTGCAGGAACCTCCAGGAGCAAGGACATTTACCTGTACTCTGAAGTGGTGCACCTGTTCTGCCAGCTCATCGTGCAGCATCTGTAGACTAGGCCCGTGCCAGCTATGCCAAAACAGAGTGGGAGGTGGGCTAGGGCCCTCCCACTTTATCATGTGGCAAGCTGTCTCTCCCTCCCTGCCAACTGCAATCTTTCAACTTGTTTCCCATGTTTCTTAAAGGGGATGCTGCACTTCAGAAGTGGCTTATGGGGTCCATTTTTATCCATGGCTCTTCAGATTGCATGTGGGGTTCTTGGCATACTTGGTTTGTGGGATTATTATTAATTAAACTTCCTACTTGCTTGTTACACCAAAAGGCGTCTAAGTGAGTTGCAACTTAAAAACATAAGAAAAAGTAAAAGCACATTGTAACCTGCCCATTTACACAAAAACACATGTGGGTCATGAGCACAGGAACTTCTTTTGTAAGGATGACCTTGTTTATATTTCATATCTTGGGTGTCTGGTGTGTTAGGGTGGATTACAGTACTTTAAAATAAAAATTTACAAATAGTTCAAAACTCAAGTACTTATGGCCAGACTTTTGTTAGTTTTTTGAAGGATGTTGAAACATAGATGTTTATAATCAGCATTTTCTTAAGTTGTATGCTGGACTTTTAAACTGCTGCTATGCTTTAGTTGGATAATATATGTATTTTAAAAACTTGTTTTAGGGTGTTGTTATGCAAGCCACTTTGGAAGAGGTTTGTCTTGAAAGGTGGCATAAACAAATAAAATAGGATTGCATTGTCAGTGTTCTAATGACACATACTTCCAGAAGTTCAAAACCTTGGATAAAAAGTATATTGACTCCCACTCTCTTCTGTTTTTAATGTGCCAGAGCAAATAGATGAAGTATTGCTGCTATCTTCTCATGTGGCATTGCTTCAGTGTTTGAAACTCCCATTGTTCAAGGTGCATTTTGCAACAGGGAATTTCATTAGCTGAGCAGTTTCTTATCTCTGTGTGCAGTACTGTGCCTGAGATTTCAGATTAAAACTGTAGAGTGGAATGAAAGAGGAATGCTTTTCTGGCTCCCCTTGTCCAGCTACTCTCTGAAGCCTGGAGAAGAGACCCTCTTAAGAATATTACGGGGGTGGGCAGGGGAAGGACACTAGACCATGTGAAAAATGGACATAATATTTTATCTGCAGTTTATTTTCAGCTTTGTATTCTTGTTATAAAAAAGCACACCTAGACATTCTGTTGTTGCACCCATAACCTAGGTTTAAGGTGCTATTTAGCTACTAGTTTTCATAATCTCAGTTTCTAACACTGCATGGTTTCATATTTTAGAAACCTCAGTTTTTTTTGTCAATACTGTTTATTTGTTCTAGGAAGAAACAAATCCCAATCTAGTTACACCACAGTTTAAAAATAACTTGTATTTTAGTGTACAGTGGTACCTCAGGTTAAGTACTTAATTCATTCTGGAGGTCCGTATTTAACCTGAAACTGTTCTTAACCTGAAGCACCAGTTTAGCTAATGGGGCCTCCTGCTGCTGCTGCGCCGCCGGAGCACGGTTTCTGTTCTCATCCTGAAGCAAAGTTCTTAACCTGAAGCACTATTTCTGGGTTAGCGGAGTCTGTAACCTGGAGCGTATACAACCTGAGGTACCACTGTATCAAGTATCTTACTTTGAAAGCAGAAATATACTTGCATGTACTAAGAACTTTTAAGATTTCAGAATTTTGAAATGGCAAAATTTGAAACCGTTAACTGCCCTTCTGTCCCTCTGCAGGTGCTGTTCTTTGGATTTGGATGGCTGTTCTTCATGCGTCGGCTCTTCAAAGATTATGAGGTGGGAACCATCAACTGTAACTTTAGTGTGACCTGAAAGTGAAGCTGCCAATATAGGAAGATATAAAGTTGAGTTCAAATAATTTATGAAACAATCCTGAAGCAGATGTCAGTGGATCTGCACGATCCTAAGCATCCTTGTTCTCCTGAAATGTCCCCAAACTGGTTGCAAAATTCTGCCAGCCCTGGATTTATTCTCTCTTATAGTGGTCAGTGAGGGAAACCTTACAGAAACTGACCATGACAGGAAATATAAGAAAAAGCCTGTCCCTCCACCTTCTGCCCTGGCTGGCAATTTCTCTCCTGGGAATCTCACTCCTTCAGATTGTTATACCATCTTATACCTGCTTACCTGAGAAGAAGCCCTCTTGAACTCAGGGGCTTACTTAGGAAGCCATCTTATACCAAGTTGGAGCAGTTGTCCATCCAGCTCAGTATTGTCTTCACTGACTTGCAGCAGCTCTCCAAGATTTCAGTCGGAGTTGTTCCCAGCCCTACTTGGAGAGGCTGGGGATTGAAAGTAGATGTTCCATATTCAAAGCAGATGATCTACACTGAGCTATGGTCCATGCTTGCTTCTGAGTAGGTTTGCATATTGGCTAGCTCCCTAGGGGAACCTTTGACCATCCAGATGTTAACAAATGACAACTCCCATCAGCCTCAGCAGCCATGGACAGTGGCTAGGGATGATGGGAGCTGTAGTTCAGCAAGAACTGGAGGGCCAAAAGCCATAAACCTAAGCACATTCACTTGAGTGAAAACCTCATTGAGACATAGTTGTGAGTACTTATGCATTGGAATGGACTTTATGACTCCTTACTGTTATGTTTGTTTGATCAGTTGGATCAAAACACAGTTTAGAGTTGCTTACAATTTTAAAAAGATTTTCTGCATTTAATCAGATGTCAGAGAAAATAGTTACAGGAGGCGAAATAATTATCTGTTAACCTATCAGTAAAGGCTTATTTGAGAACTTGGGTATAAGTCCCATTGTATGTTTACATCTTAAGGCACCGACATATTCTTTCCACTCAGAAATGAATGTCAAATACTTTGCTTGTGGAAGTGACTTCTTTTTACTCTACTGGTTTTATTACAGGTGCGGCAGTATGTTGTACAGGTTGTCTTCTCTGTCACCTTTGCGTTTTCCTGCACCATGTTTGAACTTATCATTTTTGAGATACTAGGGGTCCTAAACAGCAGGTAAGCATAGCAGCTAATGTTAGAATATTTCAGACAGGACTGTCACCTTAATGCCTTTGATGGGCTCATTTATTTGTTTCGTTCTGGTCCTGTCAAGCTATAAATGATTAAGAATGATTTAAAAAACTCCTCTGTGGTGATGATCTGGTAGTGAACAGCCCTTCTCTTATTTTTCAGCTCTAGGTATTTTCACTGGAAGTTGAACCTCTGTGTCATTTTGCTTGTCCTTGTATTCATGGTTCCCTTTTACATCGGCTACTTTGTTGTGAGCAACATCCGATTGTGTAAGTTTGCATGTACCTCGAAACGCTATAGTGGCCCAAGCGCTTTAGGTTGCCAGCCAAAGTAACACTTGTCATTCCAAATAGATAACAACCTTAATAATTTTTGACTTTCTTTGTTATTAATTTTAGTGCACAGACACAGACTGCTTTTTGCCTGTGTTGTCTGGCTAACATTCATGTATTTCTTCTGGAAACTGGGGGATCCATTTCCTATCCTCAGTCCAAAACATGGTGAGTTTCATACAACATTTCAGTTCATTGTCTGCAGCTTATGAGCTCCCTGAAATGATTCACTGTCCGTAGCGTACAGTATCTGTACATAGCATACCTGACTATTTATGCTTTATCTGTGCTGACAAAAGGGACCCTCATGTTTAATGGTATTGTGGGGAAAAGTCTGGATATCTGAATTAATGAGTGGTTTTTGTTGACAGTTGATAGATCAGATACTCATACCACACAATCCAGTGCATAGGTTTCTTTCTTAGACTGCATAGGTTTCTTTCTTAGACTGCAGTTCTAACTATGTTTACTCTAAGACCTGTTGAATTTAGAGGGGCTTACTTCCAGGTAAGTGGGGTTAGGACTGCAGCTTTGGATGCTTTCTTAATGTCACCTGGATCTTTCTTAGCCCTCTAAAGTTGCAACAAACATCTGCAATCACATGCTCGTTTTGTAAAAATAGTAAGTCCTGAGGAAATCCTGACCTATAAAATTTATTATTTCTAGAAAGAATTTTTCAGCACATGGTGTGTCCAGAAATTGAGTATTTCTGTATTCCTTTGCTTATTGCAAGGGGTGTATGAGATGGCACATTTTTTCTAGTATCCTTACAGGAGAGTACTCACATCTCTTTGAAATTATGCCAGTAGATGCTAAATAACTGAAGCTATACTAGGAATTTTAGAACAAAATGATTTGTGCAAATGTAACTGTAGTGCTTTTCTGCTTTTCTGTATTCTCGAGAACATAGTGACAGAATTAACTTAATATTTTCTTTTCTGTTAGGAATTCTATCCATAGAACAACTCATCAGTCGAGTGGGAGTGATTGGGGTGACCCTCATGGCTCTACTTTCGGGGTTTGGTGCAGTCAATTGCCCATACACATATATGTCGTATTTTCTGAGGTAAATGGTGTTTCCTGATTTTTGATTCCTTCAGACCATGTTTTCAGAAATGCCTCCTCAGAGTTGGTAGTTCCACCCCATCCCCTCTGTGGGACGCTGATTCTAGCATTATATGTGCAGTCTTATTATTGGCCCTATCTAGAATATGAGTACAGTGGTACCTTGGGTTACAGACGCTTCAGGTTATGCGTTTTCAGGTTGCGTACCGCACCAAACCTCGAAGTACCAGAATGGGTTACTTTCGGTTTCGGCACTCGCGCATATGCAGAAGTGCTAAATCGTGCTATGCGCAGAAGCACCGAATCGCAGCCTACATGTGTACAGACGCTGCACTGCGGGTTGTGAATGTGCCTCCCGCACGGATCACATTCACAACCCGAGGTTCCACTGTATTATGCTCCACTGGAACTGGGTTAAGAGGAGTGGCTTAAAATTGGGGAAGCTTTGGGTTGGACATTACTGTTATTGGAAGTCAGAACCATATCAATAGGTTTGTATGGGTGTCTGTTACAGGAATGTGACAGATGCAGACATTCTAGCTCTGGAGCGTCGTCTCCTCCAAACCATGGACATGATCATCAGCAAGAAGAAAAGGTGAGACCAACTACAGCAGGAAATCCTTTACTTCTTTTGAAGTAACTTCATCACAGAAATTTGCCAGTGGATGGATGATTTCTATTGTTTAGAGGATCAGAGAATAAAAGAGCTAAAATAGTTACAAAACTGGTGAACTGGATGGAATGAGTTTGTTTAAAATATTCTTATACTACCTCTTTTTTTAAAAAAATAAATAAATCATGAGGCGGTTAACAAAAATACAACTTATTAAAATTGTGATAAAGCAAAAATATAAGAGCTCTACAAAAATAAAAACCAATATAAAACAACCCATAGCAGATATTACAAGGTCACAGGAGGTAGATACTGAAGGCCTGCAAAGGCCTGGGAGAAAAAGTCAGTTTTAAGCAATCGCAGAATGAACATCATTGATTGCCGCTTGCCTTTTACAAGAGACGTGATGATTCCACAAGTGGGTTCCTCTCCTGACAAAGGGCTTCCATTGTGGCTAATTCGGTCCCCAAACCATGCTGAAGTGACTCATATCAGTTTCTTCCAAGAGTGCCTTGAGCTGAGCTGCCACCCCCCTTGTGCTGTGCCATTAGATGTGAATTAGATGCCACAGGAAGGGGAGTCAATTGAAGTGGCCTCTATGTTGTGCCTGTTTCATAATGCTCCATGAGGCACCCAAGTTTTGATTTTCATGGGTAGAACTGCCAACTACATAAATAATACTGATCATGTTTTCAGTAAAGAAGTTTCTATGTTATATTATGATGAATTGTTTTAGGATGACATGAGTTGCCTTGAAAGGGTTAGCACTGATAGATAGCATATAAATGATGACATAAGTAAAATAAACGTAAACTTTGTGAACTAATGCCGTTACTTTAATGGCTGAAGTCTGCAGAAAAGCTTTGTATTATCTTTATTACCTAGGAGCAAAATAAAATAAATTCATTTATCTGTACCTAATTGTGGAGGCCTCCTGACTCTTACCTAAAGACATGGAAGTCAGCTACTGATATTGCTTAGGAAATGCATGATTACCACTTTCCTGAATTGTGTTAATATACACTTTTTCAAAAGTTCGTCTGTTACGTTGACAGCAACGTTTTGAATTACAGATTTTGAAAAATCTAAACTTTGAAATGTGATGATTTGTTTTTGGTTCTAGTTTGTATCTCTCTTTTTTAGCACTTGACTTTTCCTCCCAATCAGGATTGCGATGGTTCACAGAAACATGTTCCAGAGGGGGGAAGTTAACAACAAGCCCACTGGTTTCTGGGGGATGATAAAAAGTGTGGCATCATCTTCACCAGGCAGCGAAAGTATCCTTTATTTCCTTAGTTCTACTTTGGGGAATGGGAAAGGGGGAAACCATAACGGAGCTGAGTTAAGATAAAAGGAAAAGGGGGAAATGTAAGGATCTCATTTACTATTGTGCAGATTACAGACTATGCAGAATCCCTTACCTTCCACTCCTTGAGATTAGCATACCTCAGAGTGAACAACTCTTAACTCAAGCCTAAGCACCAGGGCCTGATCTAGTGGGGGCACTTATGCTCATGCCCACTTTTACATAAGTGAGAAATTATTATAGATGTTGCCTGATGGGAAATATGGAACTGGGCATGGATTTAGTTATGTAGCCTTGATATATCAGTACCATGCATTGTTAATACCATACAGCAACATGATTTTCAGGGGACCGATAAGCTGCCCCGGAAGCATGTAGTTCTGGCATTAGTATTGCTATATGTATATTTTAGTATACAATGTGCATCACCAGTTGTAATCCTGCAGGTGGCAGCAGTGTACAGTTTCTGATTTGTAGCCCAGGAGTTAGAAAGTAAAGGACCTGTTATTTCAGAAAATGTCAAGGCTTTTTTTTCATGCAATGGCTCAGGAATGAAAAGGAACATTGAAATATGTATTGTTTTTGGATGGTATTATCCATGATTTTGTCCTTGACAACTGTCATTTACCAGATCTGGCAGTTATCCAGCAGGAGGTAGATGCTTTGGAGGAGCTGAGTCAGCAGCTTTTCTTGGAAACTGCTGACCTGCATGCTACCAAGGTGCAGGCAAAGGGGGACTGTCCGTTCTCATGCCTGATGGGTGGGTGAAAGGGAAAAAAGACTTTAGAAATCTACTAGCAAGCAAACACTATACAGGAGATGTAGCTTTATGATACTCTGATAAGTAGCCATTAGCCTTCTCTGGGATCATGTCCTCTAGAGTAAATCACAATTTTATGTTGCATTTGGTTATCCCAGTCTAGATATATTTTTGTTCATATTATTGCTATTTGCACTTCTTGATCACTTTAAAAAAATTCTAACTCAAAGTGACTTTTAAAAAGCAACATAAAACTAAAGCAGAGTAAAAGCCAAAAACACAGTCATAACACATCTCACCTACTTTAGTAGATAATTCTGCAGATAATTCAAGGCCCATGGCTTAGGGGAAGAGACAAAGTTTTGCTGGGTGCCTAAAAGTAGATAGTGATCACTGCAGGTGTGCTTCCCTTTATTAATCAAGGCTTCATCAAGTGGTCAATATGTGTGCCTTATTGAAACACGTTGAAAGGGAGAGCATGCATGCTGTTGTGACATTAAGGGCATCCCTGAAAGCTTGGAGATCTGGGTTTATTCTGTTGTGTCACTTGAATTTATACTCTCCAGGGCCTATGCAAACGTGGCTCTGGCAGCACCTCACAGATTCTTCATCTGTAAAGGGGCCTGCTTGCTTTATCTCTGTCACTTGGTCTGTATGAGATGGAAATCGTTTTATTTCATGATAAGAAACCCATGAAATAGGATGTGCTGGCTTTAGAATGCACCTGGACGCCTCCTGAACCTGAACATTGTCTTCTTTGCAGGAGAGGATAGAATACTCTAAAACATTCCAAGGGAAATACTTTAACTTTCTGGGCTACTTTTTCTCAATCTACTGTGTCTGGAAAATTTTTATGGTATGTATCTGTGCCATTGGAATGGTAGTTTATATTTTGCAAAGGCTGTGATTGGAAGGAGATTTCTGCATCTTGTAATCTTAATATGTAAATATTATTCAGCAACAAGAGTTCAGGCAGTTTTTAAAATTGACCTCTTGTTGAATTTCAGTAAGACTGATTTTAAGGCCAAAGTAGGATGTCCATCTTATAACTACATAGTATCACTGGGCAGTATTACCTGTCTCTTTGTGTGTGTGTGTGTGTGTGTGTGTGTGTGCGCGCGCATATGCACGCACATCCATGCTTTGTAGCCTGTTTACCATGCTGGGCAATTTCCTGTGAAAACGGCGTTGTATGTGTGATGTTTTTAGTGAAGGTAGCTTAAGTAATATGATGCCTCTTTCTCTCTCATCATCAGGCAACAATCAATATTGTATTTGACAGAGTTGGAAAGACGGACCCAGTCACACGAGGAATTGAGATAACTGTGAACTATTTGGGGATCCAGTTTGATGTAAGGACTGTTTTAAAATCCACCTTCTTTCTTCAGTTTTCCTTTATTCTTATTTCATTCTACTCTGTTCTGAGCTGGATATTAATTCAATGCGCTAACTACCTCTAAAAATTTCTGTGGGTACTGAAATGAGTGATTCTAAAACTTTAGAAAATCCATACGTATCACTGGGTTTTCAATAGAACTATGCATCTTTAAAATTTAAGTTCCAGTCTTCTGTTTGCCCAGAAGATGGCAGTACTCCTATCTTAGGTATTAGAGAATGCATTGGCCTATACACCTTTAGTCACTCTAAAAAGAAGTTTAAATCCAGTGTTGTGTACACCAACCTGGTAAGACCTCTTGGTTTATCTGCTATAGGTTTATATGAAAATATTCTTGCTTGAACTTCTCCGGAGGACACTGAATGTATAAACAATATCTGAAAATAAGCAGCCTACTAAATCCATACTCTGTAGATGTGAGCATCTCTGTGAGCTTAACTGTTTCCTTTCTGTGTTATTGCAGGTAAAATTCTGGTCTCAACATATTTCCTTTATCCTTGTTGGAATAATTATTGTCACCTCTATCAGGGGTTTATTGATTACACTCACAAAGGTAGGCCTGTGCGTATTCTTATTATATAATGAGTATAAGCAGAAAAGTGTGAGTTCATCAGAACTTAGCTCTTAAGAATTTTGGGGCAGAACGACACAACACTCACAACACATGCAAACACTAAAAGCAGCACCACAAGGTTGGACCCCCTCCTTCCCCTTAGTAGCATGTAGTTCCACCAACCTCATGACTTGTGTTGTCATGCTGAGCAACTCTCCCACCCTGAGCCACATTCTTCTCTGGTGAGGACAAGAGAATGCTCCCAGTGTGTCTTTATCATTGGGTATATAAGTGGATAGCTAAGGAGTTGTACAGACCATTTTGATGGTTAGAAAGCTATGACATTATGCAACAGAATAGCCATTTCTACTGTCCCTTGAAATTTAATTAGAATGTTGTACTTAGAACATCATATTGGATGATATATCTATATATAGATGGTTTTCTGTGTTTTGTCTTCCAGTTTTTCTACGCTATCTCAAGCAGCAAGTCTTCCAATGTCATTGTTCTGCTATTGGCACAAATAATGGTGAGTGTTTTAGCCCCAAATGGTGAAAAGCTACTTCTTGCCCACTCTTAGCTATGTAAGCAGCTGGAAATGGGGATGCCTGATGTTTCCTTTCTCTCTTCTGCAGGGGATGTATTTTGTGTCTTCAGTGCTTCTGATTCGAATGAGTATGCCTCCAGAGTATCGCACCATCATTACGGAAGTTCTAGGAGAATTACAGTTTAACTTCTACCACCGCTGGTTTGATGTTATATTTCTGGTCAGTGCTCTCTCCAGCATCCTCTTCCTCTACCTGGCGCATAAGCAGGCTCCTGAAAAGCACATGGCACTCTGAATCCATCTTGGTTCTTCATTGTGTGATGGACGAAAGCAAAGTATTTGGCATATTGCCATCTTTTTTTGCGATGGATTATCAGTTCTTGGACAAGAACCAAATACGTCAGCGTAGGCAAAAGGAGAGGCAAGAAATAGCCCCAAGAAACAACCCTTGTGCTATAAGCATGTCCTTGAGAGGAAATAAATCACAAGGAGTGAAAGGGCAGCTCTCTCTAAAGCAGAATGGGAAGAAACAATTCTGTGATGTTTAGTAAGTGTGATTGGCAAGATGTCTGCTTAAATGTCTTAATCTGGAAGTAGTGATTCTGGAACTGAACATCTAAATAAACCAGCTTTTATAACAATTCACAATATTGTTGTGATAACCCTACAGACTTTGGAAATGAGTTACTTCTCCGAAGATGGAATGAAGAGTGGTGAATTAACAAGGGTCTGGATATTTCAAAAGCAGCTCTGGGCAGCTTGTGACCAATCAAACTGAATGTTGCTTGCCAGGGTTTTGTTCCTACCCTGTCTAGTGTTGGCATGTCACTGTATCATTAGTGGGCTGTGTAGCCCTTGTCAGAGAAGGTATATCTCAGCCCCTTTGCTGTTTCATGGGATCTTAGCTCAGTCCTTATCCATTTCCATTCCATATTGTAAGGAGAAATGATGCAGAAATTTGATAGCAAATATTCCTATGTATATTACATATATGATGTTGGTTTTCCTCCTTGTAGATCCCACTGTAACCTAACATATTGCTGATGAAACCTACCTCTTGATTCCAGAATTAGGTGTATCAGAGAAACCCTCCATATGGCTAGGAAGTGGATACTCAGGGCAATGATAAGGCAGCTCAGTGAGACATGGATTAAAAATGGTCATGTTGTAGTTAGGTAGATTCAAAAGCTCTCTTCTAATATGCATGAACAGACTGAAGAAGGGGCAGAGGAAATGCCTGAAAGAAGCAATTAATAAAGGCCTGCAGCTCCACTCTGTTTCCTCCCCAGCAAGAATGATCTACGAACTTTTTCTCTGCCACCCCTTCTGATGGGGAAACAGTTGCCAGACTTAGTACTGATTGATTTGACTAGTGGGACAGCAGCTTCTGTTTATGGAAGAGAACAGGGAACCCTCCACCAAGCAGACTGTGATTGGAAACTGAGCAGCAGCTGCTTCTTCTGCCTCCTCCGCACAGCACATGGCAGAGAGGGCCGTGGGCTGAAGAGAAAGGTGAAAGACCCCCTGATGCAGCAAGGGGGCAGAATGCATGGATGAAGGTTTGGAATCGTAGAAGATTTGGGTGAGGGTTGCTAGAGGAGGTCAAGGGATCTACTATATGTGGGAAATAAAAAAAAAGGATAGCAAATATGATAAAAAATGAAATAAAAACCTTAGCCATGTATTTTCATGTGTATACATTTTGTAGTCTAAAGTTGGTCCACTTTTTTGTTAAGGCACCTTGTTTGACCTCATCTGCTATCAGAAAGAGGCAAAAGTTGGGTTCTGGTCAAATGGTAGGTTGCAGGAACAGAATCTTTCACATTCTGTATATCAGATACGCTGCAGACACAGATCAGACTACCGTGAAACAATTTATTTTAAAACTTAAAATGGAATTAATACTGTGAAAGCAACCAATGTAGATATGCCAGTCCATAACTGATACACTGCAATGTTTTCAAAGTGTTCAAATGTTGGGCAACAAAGCCTAAAATTAGTTTGTACTAAAATGACTACACATTAATAGTTGCTTTGGTTAATGGTTCAAATTATATGAGCAATAAATGTTAATAAGAATGATTATTGATTTAATTGGGATATAGTAAGTGTACATATGCATGGTAGGTATTCACTCACCATTTTCCATTAGGAAGCTTTGGCTGCAATCAACACAGTAACATTCTTAATGCATGCAGTCCTGGTCCACATGGAAAAAGCCTGCAGCTTAACAAAAATGAGGTCGGAATCCAGTAGGATCCCTTCCTCACCTGAAAGCCATGTTATCTAGCAGTCCAATCCTATACATGTTTGTTTGTTCAATGGGCCTTTGTTTCAAGTAAGCATGCACAAGAGAGTAGCCAACATTTTCTAAGCAGTAATATTTGTAACTCTGCTTCAGAATACTACTCCCTTTTGGGCACTACCATGGGAAGGTACTTGACCCCGGCATTACAATTTGGTATCATCATCTTCAGAAGCAACTGAGAGTGAAGAGGAGGACGAGTTAGCCTAGAGAGAAAAAAACAGTAAACAAGTAAGAAATGCTCCCAGCAGCAGTCTGATCTAGTCTGGAATATTGGCCCAGTTTGCACGAACAAGGAAATGTGCAAATTTCTGGCCTTGTGGTTTGTCTCCTTGAGACAAACCAAGAGCAGGAAACCAGAAAAAATGGGTTCAGATGTAACACTCAGCCAAACCATAGCTTAGCTCTAAGGAGCATAGCAGCAGCAGGGCTGGGGGAAGAGTGCTGAGGGCACAACCCCCCCCCCCCCGGAACTAGCACATTTGCTTGTTCACGCTAAGCCATGGTTTGGCTTAAAGTTACGTGCAAACCAGGTCAGAAGAAACAGCAATAACTGAGCATTATTAGCAGTATAACCACAAGGCTTAGTCATTCTGTGATTTAAGCATAGTCTGAGCATAAGCCCAGCCATGCCATGTCCATAGTTGTTCTGGCCAAATCATAGGACCACTTATTTGCAACCTAGCCATATAAACTTGGAACTGAATACCAGTGATTTAATTTAGGTTTTTGTCCAAATAAGCAAACTTAAGACTGCAACCTTGAGCAGATCCCTTTCCTCAGCCTTTATAAAGAAGGTAACTCACCCTCTCTCGTGGTTCTGGCAATGGTCCATCTGGCTCTGGGGCTTGTATCTCTGTGTAAGCAGGAGGGTCACTACTGCTGTCTGGTGGATCTGCCATGGGGGCAGTGATGGGCATATTCTGGGCCTTGAAGTACTGATAAGCTTCTTCTCCACATACTACTAGTTTCAGCTTGTTTCCACCATCATGGATTCTTGCCACGACATCGTCATAATCTTCATTCTCCACGTTTGCACCGTTGACTTCTATTAAGATGTCATCGATTTGCAGCCCTGCTCTTTCTGCTGGGCCACCCTCCTTTACCTGAAATTATATCGTATTAAAAAGCCAGGCATTTTATTGCTTGAAAGTGGGTGGGCAGAGTATGGTAAGGGGTAGTTCTGACCACTAAATTACTGCAGGCTAGGAAGCTTTGTACACTGTGAAGATACAATTAATGAAATGCAATAGTTAAAAATAGTGAGATGGTATTTCCTTCCCGGGGGTGCTGCCATTGCTTGCTGTGCTCACCAACCCCACCTACCTGCCAACCCCTACTCCCTTTACATCTCACCCACCCATAGCCTACCCCCTCCCAGCTCACCCCAACCTTCCTTTAAATATGACTACAGTGATTTTTAGCTGGGGGAGCTCTTCAGAGAGCACTTTGCCAACCCTCTCTATGAAGCACCACCCACCCTCTTTTAAGCACAGCTGTAGTGATGCTTCAGAGAGCGGTTTTTACTTTTATTTATTTTCACATGTGGATTTAGAGCATGGGAGTTTGAAAACAAAATCAATGGTCACGTTCTTAGCTAGCAGGTGGCACAAAAGAAGTGGTAGCACAGAAATGGATAAGGTCCCGAGAGAAGGTTTGACGTGAAGTTAAAAAACGACGAGAATAAGACATCGCAAGATTTGGATGGAATTCAAGTGAATGTCAAAGAAATAATTGGCTGTCGATTTCTGGTGGCAATTCGTGAAACATCAAGATACTGTCCAATGCACAGGTTTGGGGTTTCATATGCTTGCAGCTGCTAACCATGGCATGAAAAATGGATAGAATGCTGTCAATAGATCAGTGGTGAGGGAAAAAATCTGGGGCTTAACAGTACGGAGTAACTGAATGTGATCTAAACAGTTATGGAATGGAAGAAATAATATGAATTGTTTAGAAAACTTTGATTCCTTGTATTTATCAGAATTTGCATCATAAAAGAGGACTGGCGTTGATGTCTAACCTAAGCATGATGTAATATATACACAGAATGGGTGACTTTTTGCTATAACTGTAATTATATAAATTTAAATAATTTTTAAAAGCTTCTTTCAACTCTTAATATTGTGCATGAGTCTTTCATGCTCCTCCTTGTGGCCATGCAGCAGCAAAAAGTGCAAGCCTGGGGCAAGGCTAGACTGAAAGTGGTCCCTGCATTGTGCACCTCTGGACAGAAGGGTTGGGAAGCTGCTGCTCATATTTGGCATCATGTTTATTTCACCAGCATATGGATTAGATTAATACCTCTTTGATGAACTGGCCAGGCAAACCTTTGATGGCATTCAGACGGAAGCCAAAGCCACTGGGACCCTTTACCAGATAGCAGAGTCTGGGCTTGTGATGCTCTTTCGCCGTATGACATGTTGGCACTTCAGCCTCACATGGAGATTGCACCGGTGTTGTGTGATAGTAGAGGCATGGGGATATCTTAGCCTTAGTAACCAAAAGGGGGAAAAAAGCATTTATTGCAAAATACACATTGCTACCAAACATCGTGCGACGATAAAACCTCCCTCACACATTTTGGGATATAATGAGCAATATTTTCCACTAAATATTTGCAAATCTCTTGCTTCTCTCTTCCGTAATAGCAGATGACAGACACATTCAGTCCCTCCTTTCCTCCGCTCCCTATATCCTATCAATTTATAAGCACACCGCAGAGAATGATGCAGGAATTTGTGTGGGTGGAATAAACTGGCTCTATGACATTTTGACCCTCCAACTGTTGAAGAAGGAGTGAACATTTTACTCTGCTTTGAGTCATGTCATTAAATACTTTATATCTATCCCCCCCCAAAAAAAACACACAAATAGCCTCCAACAATTTATAACATAAGCAAAATAATATAAATGCATCTATACCTACTTGGCGCCTATATGTTCAGCTGGCAATATTCCATGCATTTTTCAAAAATTGAAAGATTGCATACAGATAATCAGAATTCTTCACCAGGAAAAGAGGAGCTGGTATATATTTGCTAATTTGGTATGACTCATTTTGCCAAAAGGGGAGGGAAAATATAGCAATGTAGGAAGTTCCACACCCTGCCAAGCCTTCTCAGCTTCCACCTGTGGCTTCTGAATCTCCGCCAGACTTTCAGGCTAATCCTTCCAACTTAGAAACTTGCTTATAAAAAGAATTAAAGTTGGCATTCTCTGCATATGTTACCAATTTCTATGCTTGCACTATGTAACTACAGATAGCTGCAGCTGTCTGATTACCCCCATCGTTTTGCTCATCATGTGACTTCCAAGTTAGTCGTGCTTGTGCGCAACTGTGTCTGTTACCATTTTGTACATGGCGTCGGTTTCGTCATCCACCACCAGCAGCACAGTCTTTTCACCAGACTTCCTGATTTTCTCCACGACAGCCTCGTGGTCCAGTGCTTCAACCGACTCTCCATTGACAGCCACCAGGATGTCGTTGTCCTTGAGACCAACTTCGGCTGCCGGGCTGCCAGAATCAATGTCCTTAATTAAGTGACCTGTACACAAAAATAAGAAAGGCCTGATACTTGGTAAAGTGCCTTAGTGGGTTTTTGTTTAAGACCATACCTGTGGCTTAGGGCTTTTAATGTTCTTTGACTACCTCACAGAATGCTGCCTTCTCAAGAAGTGCGAGTTACACTAGCAGCCAAATGGGAATGCAGCATTTTCCAGGTGAAAGAAACTGATTGGGCTCCAGATTTCTCAGATCTGAATTCTGTTTAATTATGAACTCAGGAAAATCATTTTCTATTAAGAACATTAGATGATCCAGGCTGGATTAGACCACATAAATAATGCTCTATCCCCACCTGCCATTTTTAAGATGACAGCATAAAGCACATCTGTTCACACAGTCATATGGGGGGGTATCTAGCAATTATTTTTGCTGCTGCTACTGAATTACCTTTTATTGAGTGAATGTGATTGTTATATATTTATTAAATTTGTATACCACCCTTCATCTGTAGCTCTCAGGGCAGTTAACAGCATAAAATTACAAGAGAAAAACACAAAATACATAATAAAAACAAGAAAACAACAACGGCAAGCAAATAACCCCCCACTCCCTCCCTACGAGCACATTTAAAAGGATATAGGGTGTTAGTCAAAGGCCTGATTGAAGAAGAATGTTTTTGTCTGATATATAAATGTGTATTCCACAAATGGAGAGCCGTGGTACAAATGCGATTTTTAATGAATTTTATAATTTTTGCACATATTCATCACACTTGTATGAGAGAAGGTGTTTCATGAATGTAATAAGATAGACCATACCTTTACCATTCTGTTCCATTCTCAGGTAGAATCCATAACCATTTTTTCCTTTTGCCAGCTCCAGCCTTCGGGGTTTGTGGGGCAATAATTTCAAACTTGCCGTTTCTCTCCTCAGCTGCATGTTCTGCCTCTTGTAATACTGATCGGTTTCTTTATTTGACACCAGAAACACAAGTCGATTTCCAGACCTCCTCACCTGGGAACACAGACATACAATGCTTAGAGGTAGTACTTCAGCCATGTCAAACAGTGGGACAGGACTGAGGAGCATTTTATATGCAAAGTGCTGATGTGGATGAGGTGACCTTGGAAATCCCTAGTCAGCACGAAACATCTTTTCTGATGGCATTTTCATAAGTGAGGCTTAAATTGTTCTGAACTGCATTTATGAATCCTACAGTGTCTGGAGTGTATGTTTGATTGCTCTTCCACATTCAGACATGGCCCAACTATTTATTCACTTTGGATCTGAGTACTTAACACTAACACAAATTTTTCAGCCCTAAATCTACTACGTATGCAACTTGAGTGGAAGGCATGACAGTAGATAGCTAGACACCAGTCACTCAGCCCTGTGGATGGGCTAGGCTGGGGAAACTATTAGAAATAAGTTTTAGCTGTTAAATATTTTAGAGGCTATGCAATAAGCCTTGCCTAAAAGCTCTGTTCACACATTACTCACATGGAAGGCACATGGGTATAGGTAGAGGTAAAGGACCCCTGGACAGTTACGTCCAGTCAAAGTCGACTATGGGGTTGCAGCGCTCATCTTGCTTTCAGGCTGAGGGAGCTGGCATTTGTCCACAGACAGCTTTCCGGGTCATGTGGCCAGCATGACTAAACCGTTACTGGCGCAACAGGACACCGTGACAGGAGCCAGAGCGCATGGAAATGCCGTTTACCTTCCCACCACAGCGGTACCTATTTATCTACATGCACTGGTGTGCTTTCGAACTGCTAGGTTCGAAAGGAGCTGGGTCAGAGCAATGGGAGCACACTCTGTCGCGGGGATTCTAACCACTTACCTTTCAATCGGCAAGCCCAAGAGGCTCAGTGGTTTAGACCACAGCGCCACCCGCAGAGGTGGGAGATCTTTTGGGGCCAACTTTAACAGATGGCCAGGGCAACCCACCTGTCAATCACCTGTCATGCTTAATGAAACTCGGTGGTAGAGCATCTGCTTTGCATGCAGGAGGTCCCAGGTTCAATGTCTGGCATCTCCAGGTAGGACAGGCCTGAAACCCTGAAGAGCAACTGCCAGTGAATATAGATAATTCCAAGTAATATGGAGCAACGGTCTCACTTTGGCAGCTTATGTTCCTATGCTTAAGCAGACAGATACATACAGTGGTACCTCGGGTTACAGACACTTCAGGTTACAGACGCTTCAGGTTACAGACTCAGAAATAGTAACCCAGAAATAGTACCTCGGGTTAAGAACTTTGTTTCAGGATGAGAACAGAAATTGCGCAGCCGCAGCAGCGGGAGGCCCATTAGCTAAAGTGGTGCTTCAGGTTAAGAACAGTTTCAGGTTAAGAACGGACCTCCAGAATGAATTAAGTTCTTAACCCGAGGTACCACTGTACTGTGATGAGTTAACCCTGGGAAAATGGTTGCCTGCATTCATTCAGGACCACAATCTTAGATCTGTGGGGGAAAACCTAACCAACGATTGAGGAACAGGGTGGAGGCTGAGGTCTTGAGGTTTAGGCTTGGCGATACCTTCTCGACTACTTCCTCATGAGTGTCGTTTTCCACATTCTCTCCATTGATTTCGATCAGGCGGTCATTGGGCTGCACTCCGGCTAATGCAGCTGGTCCTTGTGGGGCCAAATCTATAATGAACAATCCCTTGTGACCTGGAATAGACAGAACCAGGGCAGATCTAAATAACTCGCCATGTTCTGTGTTACTCAGCAATGGCATAACAATAGGAGCCCTATAGACTTGAGACAGTTTTGTTCAAGGAACATGAAATGGCAGTAAACTTGTGATCCAACTGGAAATAACCATGTCTGCTTTCTATGCCCCAGGAATTCAAGAGGGAAGCCATTCACTCTCTAAAGCCCAACCTTTCTTTATGCCATGTTCAATACTGCCATGGGGAAGATTATTATACTTGTTTATGTTGGTTGATGATTGCCACCAGCAAGAATAGTTGCTTATTAAATACTACTTGTTTTCCCATTGTTTATTAGCACCTGGCTTATGATTGTATTGCTGTATGTAAGTGCTTCCTGTCTTGAAAGGAACAAGTCTTTCTTGGGCAGTTACAAAATGTGCCAGTGACTGCCAGCATGAAACACGGTAAAAATACCTAGATAGAGATCTTTCTTTATACCCTTGGATATAATTTTTAAGAGTTGTGACAAAAAGCAGATATATTGCATCCACCTCAGTTCTCTTGCTGTTATTGTGGAAGACACTTTCATTGCCAAGTACTTGCAGTCATATTATATTATTATTATTAGTTGTTGTTATTATTCCACATTACCTGAGATTTTCAGAAGGTAAAATTTAAAATCTTTTGTCTTCCAAAAACAGCTTATCTGCGTCTTCATCAAATGTAGACTTACCAAGCTAAATGTTGTCCAGTCACAAAAAGATTTGTATTTCTCACACCCAAAAACATAATTTTAAGACCCCTCACTGAAGAAATTTGCCAAAATTAATTTTCACCCCCTAAAATGCTACACTCTGCTGCCCCACATCTCATTTCAACGGAAAACCACTCAGATGCTGTGTGATGTGTGAATCAGCTGTAGGGGGAAAATGTATGTGCTAGCCTGTCCCTGTAGCTGAAATGTTTCCAACCAAAGCCTTTATATTTCCAGAAGGTTTGTGCTGTTCCTTCTGGCACTTCAGCAGAGTTTCAGAATAATTCGAATACCTTTTCATATCATTACCATGAGAACTCACAATCCAAATAATGGTCTTCAACAAAGGGCTTGGGAACATGTGCTTTCTATGAAAGCAAAATAAAGAAATTGTATTGAACTACCAAGCCCACCGCCAGCTCCAGAATGCATACAATGCATATTATATAATGCTACATGTGCATTGTCTGTGTTTATTGTTCTCACCTTCCGTTGTCTTCAGAGAGAAGCCATAGCTGTTTTTTTCTTTCACCAGATAGCAGAGGCGGGGGTGTGTAACTGGGCCAGGTTCTCCATTTGTCACAACTGAAGTGTTTTCTGCTTGCTGCTGGACTGGTAATGTTTGACCCAACTCTTCAAAATTGACCCCTTCCTTATGTGCATCTTCATAAGATTTTTCATCCAAAACAAGGAATGATACAGAGTCCACACTTTCCCTAACTAAATCAGCCACCTGTATGGGGCAGAACGAGCGTTTCAGTAGTAATCACAGGTAGTAGTAAAATAGCTCATCTAAGTATTTCCTGTTGCCTTGTACAAGAGGAGACCTACTGACAAAGGAGACTGCAGGATACGTGCAATACATATGGGGGACAAAATACAGTAGTCACAATACAGGAATCCCATAAAGTTACCTCTGGGTGCCCATGCTGGAGGGGGGAAACAGAAAACGTTTGGTGTAGCAAATCTCTAATGATATATCTACACTACGGATACAAATGGGTTTAATAATCAATTCCTCTAGGAAACTGGAGTGCTGTGAGTGGAGACCTGCAAGTTATATATGCCCAAAGGTTTCAGCCCTATGCACATGGGTTACCCAGGAGTAAATCTTATTAAATGTAATGGGACAAACATGCCACAGGGAGCAGTTCGGTCTGTATAAACTGCTTGCCAGTTAAGGCTGCTCTCAATATTAAAAGGCCCTGCTGCATGTTTCATGAAAAGAGAGGCTGCCTATGGCTAGAAGCATGGCCTTTTTAGTCATGGCCCTGGGGCTAAGTCCTGAGGGCCACATTCACCCTTGGCTAACCCCTCAGAGGCCACATGTCCACGATGGGTGTGACTAAAAGTTGGTGGAGCTATCCCATACTCTCATACTCCCCCTTTTTGTTGATGTCACCCAAACTGGTAGGATCTTAGGTGGGCAGAAAAATTGTTGGAGGGGCCAGATCAGGCCACCGACCTGCAGGTTAGCCACCCTTGGGCTAAGGAGTCATGTCCCTCATCGTAGTTAGCTCAGTCGGTTAGAGTATGGTGCTGATAATGCCAAGGTTTCAGGTTCGATACCCATATGGGCCACCTGCATTGCAGGTGGTTGGACTAGATGATCCTTGGGATCCCTTCCAACACTACGATTCTATGATTTAGAAATGCCTTTGGGAACTGCCAGACTTTTAACAGAGGAGATGGGCAATTGCTGAATAATTTTATTGCTGCTGCACATGATCAAGGTGGTGGTGGTTATGGTTATTTTATCGGTTTAAATCAATGTAAGGCACCCTGAGTTTTTTGAAAAGGTAAAGATTTTAAATTGATGAGCCCGGGATCAGGCCGCATGATGTACCAATATTTCCTGTTTGTCTGGCAGCAGAAAGGACCCCCAAATGAAATTGTTCTATACCGTTCCATGATCTTCTTTGTCTACAAAAATCCCATTGACCCTCAGGACTCTGTCTCCATCTTTCAGGCCAGCCTTCTCAGCTGGACTCCCCTTTGCCACATTCCGGATCAGGTGCCCTGCTTTATATTTCTCAAGGCGCAGACAGAATCCATAGTTCTCTGCCTCTTTTTTGGTCAGTTTGCATTCCCTGGGCCGAAGAGGAGACATCGTTTCTGTCACAAGGGATAAAAAATAATAATATTACTCTGCTGGCAAAGATGCTCATGGAAGGAAAAAGAGCCTTGTTAAGGAAAACTAGTCCAGTGGAATGAGCCTAAGAAGGTGCTCATAAAAGGAACCAGGACAATTATAGAAATACTGAGACAATTCCAGGTTTTGATTTTTTTTTGTGGGGACAGAGAAGAAGGTACTGATTAATCTGGATTATTTTCCTCTGAGAGATAAATTGATGCCCTGATTATTCATAGCACTTTAGCAAGATTTTTCTTTGAAAATACTATGTAGACATCACACATTACTAGAATAAACGGCACAAGCTACTCATGAATGATTTTTTCTAAATTGTTTGTCATTCCCTCTCATTTGCACATAGCAACTCACACTTGGTTCAGGCCTCTTGTACAGCACAAACACATATTGACTGACTCACCAACTAGCCAAGGCTATCACAGAGTTAGTGAGGACCACAGCATCTCTTACAGGGACAGCTTAGTTCCCTCATTATTTGCGTGTCCAAGGGGCAGTGGGGCCATGCCACTGATCCTGCTTTCAAAGCCACATGGCATCTCTCAGCTGTACTCCTGATGTCCACATGCTAGTCATGGATGTCTTTAGGGGGGAAGCCTATGCATGTTGTCTTTCCCCCTGCAGATAACTATAGATAACACACAGAAATCGGGGATAGTGTGCAGCTTATTCAGCGGAGCCAGCAGTGTGAAAAAGCAAATGTTAGGCATATGATGAAGTATGGTGAAAGAAAGCATAGAACTCATAGGCAGGATTCCACAAATCTGGTCACCAGAACAAATGAATGGCAACCACCCCTCCATCCAGCGTATAGCACAAAAAATCCTCTCTCTTTTCCCGGAGTTCCTATACAGTAAACTGAAGAGGGGTTGAGAAAAGAGGCCTTTGAACTGTTGTTTGGAAAAGGTAAGAAATAACAGGAGTCTCTCATGCATGCTGCTTGCAGGTTTATTGCTGCTGCCGCTTTGCCGTGAGTTTGTGGGGAGGGCTCTTCCCCCTGCAAGCCCATTCTCCACCTTGGGCCTGGGGGCGGGCCCCATACTCCACCTCAGCATATAAGGCTCCAAGGAGGCCTCGGGACATTGCTGCTGCCGCTTCGCTGTGAGTTTGTGGGGAGGGCTCTTCCCCCTGCAAGCCCACTTCACCAGGCCAGGGGGCGGGGCCCACACTCACCACCGCCACAACTTTAAGGACACTGGTGCTGCTGCAGCAAATGTTTAAAATGTTTTTATATATTTTAAAGTGTTCTAAAAGTGTTTTTACTTTTTACTTTGTTGTACCACCATAAATGGTGGTTTTTATCCATGTATTTTTATTTTGTTTTGTTTTATTTTGGGTTGGGGTGGGATGGTTGTTGAGTGGGGTGGGGATTGGTTTTGTTTTGGTGTAATTGTTTTTTGTTTGTTTGCTTTTATATTTTGTAAATGGAGGCGAGTATGAGGCTTGGGATTCCTACTGTGGAGGGGCGAGGGAGGTATGGCGGTGGGGGCAGATGCCATAGGCGAAGGGGATCGAGATACAGATATGCTCGTACCCCTTCCAATCTGCGCCCCATCCCCTTCCAATCTGCGCCCCATTACTCACCTCCGTCACTGGTGTTGTGCAATGCCAGGTCTATAGGCAACAAAACTGCCACCCTGCGAGATTTCTTCATCTCGGGGGGGGGGGTTCGACCTGGCTTGTGTGATGGAGACCTGGGTGCGCGAAGGGGATACTGTTACCTTACGAGAGATGGCGCCCCCGGGTTTCTCCGTCCTCCACCAGTCGCGGACTGTGGGCTGGGGGGGAGGGGTGGCATTATTAATCCGGGAAGATTGTTCTTTCAGGGCTCTACCATCGCCATCGATCCCCGGCATTGAATGTGTTGGCCTAGTGTGGGGCTCCGAGGTGAGCTTGGCTGTCTGGCTGGTGTACCGGCCACCTAGCGCACCAGCAGCCACCCTGTCAGGCCTGCTGGAGGCAGTGGCCGGCTGGGCCTTGGAGTTCCCTAACCTATTGGTATTGGGGGACTTCAACATCCATGCTGATGCCACTCCCTCCTCACAGGCTCTGGACCTGGTGTCTTCCATGGCGACACTAGGGCTCTCCCAGTTTGTTTCAGGCCCCACACATCAAGCAGGCCACACGCTGGATTTGATCTTTGGCGTCGGTATAGATGTGATCATGTTTCCTTCGATGAAGGTGCCATGGTCTGATCACTACGCTCTGAAAGCCAGGATTGACGTTCCACCCCCACCCTGCTAAGGTGGCGAGCCGATTTGGGCTCGCCTGCAGAGGCTGATGGAACCTGATAGATTCCGTCAAGCCTTGCGGGACCTTTCTCCACCTGGCGACTCATTGACTGAGCTTGTTGAGGGCTGGAATACCCAGCTCCTGGCAGCAATCAATGAGATCGCACCTAAGCGCCCTCTGCGACCCCGCAGAAACCGGGCTCCCTGGTTTACCGAGGAGCTCCGGAAAATGAAGCGGGACCTCAGGCGGCTAGAGCGAGTATGGCGGGGTGCCCGTGACGGAGCCTCAAGAACATCTTATAGGGCATTTATGAAAACCTACGAGATGGCAGTGAAGGCTGCTAAGAAGTCCTACTTCTCGGCCTCCGCTAGCTCTCACCCGGCGCAATTATTTAGTATAATTCGGTCTTTAACGTCCCTTGAAGGACAGCCAAATTTAAATAACAATTTGACACACAGCTGTGAGGCATTTGCGAGCTTTTTTGCGGAGAAGGTCCTGTTGCTCTGCCATGACCTCCCTGCCAATTTGGATACAATAAAGGAACTGGAGGCCCCTCGACTGTCCTCGGGTCCAGTATTGGACCACTTTGACCGGATATCCCCAGCCGATGTGGACAGACTCCTCCGAGCTGGAAAGCCCACCACTTGTCCTCTTGACCCGTGCCCGTCCTGGCTGATTAGAGCGTGTCCAGACGAGGTGCGGGCCCCCCTGGGGGATATCATCAATTTGTCCCTTGGCACTGGGACATTCCCAGGGGAACTGAAGGAGGCAGTGGTGCGCCCGCTTTTAAAGAAAACATCATTAGATCCCTTAGATCTATCCAATTACCGCCCGGTTTCGAATCTTCCATTCCTGGGTAAGGTGATTGAGAGAGCGGTTGCTGAACAGCTTGGTAGGTTTCTGGATGAAACATCGGCTCTGGATCCATTCCAGTCCAGCTTCCGCGCTGGTCATGGGACCGAGACGGCTCTGGTCGCCCAAACAAATGATCTCTGCAGGCAGCTGGATCGAAGCGGGTCGGGGCTGCTGATTCTTCTAGACCTGTCAGCAGCCTTCGACATGGTCGATCACGAACTCCTGGACCACTGCCTTGCCGACGTGGGGATCCAGGGCACAGTCCTTCAATGGCTGCGCTCGTTTCTCTCTGGTCGGGGACAGAGGGTGGCGCTTGGGGGGGAATTGTCATCCCGCCACTCCTTGGTGTGTGGAGTGCCCCAGGGTGCGATACTCTCCCGATGCTTTTAACATCTTTATGCGCCCTCGCCCAGCTTGTCCGGAGTTTTGGGCTGGGCTGCCATCAGTATGCTGATGACACCCAACTCTATCTGTTGATGGATGGCCATCCTGACTCGGCCCCAGACACACTGATCAGATGCTTGGAAGCTGTGGCTGGATGGTTACGTGGGAGCCGGTTGAAGTTAAATCCTTTGAAGACAGAGGTCCTCTGGCTGGGACGGGACGATATGGGATTGAGGGGGCAACTCCCATCTCTTGCGGGGGTGCAATTAGTGCCAGCACCGTCTGTTAAGAGTTTGGGTGTAATCTTCGATACCTCCCTCTCCATGGAGGCGCAGATTGCAGCTATAACAAAGGCGGCATTTTTCATCTCCGCCAAGCTAAGCAGTTGGCTCCTTACCTCTCTCGCCCTGACCTAGCCACTGTGATCCACGCGACGGTCACCTCCAGACTGGATTATTGTAACTCGCTCTACGTGGGGCTGCCCTTGAGACTGACCCAGAAACTCCAGCGGGTACAGAATGGCACAGCGAGACTCCTTACGGGGTCTTCGCTGCGAGATCACATTCATCCGGTGCTATACCAGCTGCACTGGCTCCCGGTGGAGTACAGGATCAGGTTTAAGGTGCTGGTTTTAACCTTCAAAGCCCTATACGGCCTAGGACCCTCGTACCTACGGGACCGCCTCTCCTGGTATGCCCCACAGAGGAACTTACGGTGTTCAAATAAAAACATCTTGAAGGTCCCAGGCCACAGAGAGGTTAGGCTGGCCTCAACTAGAGCCAGGGCTTTTTCGGCTGAGGCTCCAACCTGATGGAACGCTCTGTCACAAGAGACTAGGGCCCTGCAGGACTTGACATCTTTCCACAGGGCCTGCAAGACAGAGCTGTTCCACCAGGCCTTTGGTCAGGGCGCAGCCTGACTCCCTCCTTTGGCAATCTTTACAAAACTTTAGTTTATGGTTGCCATCAATTTTGACTTTAATTAATTTTTATAATGTTTTTATAATGTTGCACTATTTTAGTGTTGTTAGGCGCCCTGAGCCTGGCTTCGGCTGGGGAGGGCGGGATATAAATAAAATTTATTATTATTATTATTATTATTATTATTATTATTATTATTATTATTGTAAAATGCACATTCCTTTCTAGGCAAAATGCCTACTTCAAGACAGCTTATCGTGTTTTATCTTAACACATTGTAACTAAATAAAATGGAATAAAAAATTAACCAGCAAGAATAAAAACAGAAGGGGGGAAACAACCATGGGAAATACACTTACTCAAATAACACATTTTTCAGTGGCCTCTTAAAAGCAGGCAATGAGGGGGGCAGCCGGATGAAGCTCCCTGGGGCAAATGCTTCATAATCCAGATGCCACAGTGGAGAAGACTCTCTCTCTCTTTTTCTTATTGACTACACTTCTATTAGAAGGAGTTGAGGGGACAACCAGAAATGGAGCAATATTCTCAATGGGCTCAGGTGGGAGATCTCAGAGGAGAGATGAGCTCTTATTCTATTTGAGGTAATGGTAAAACCTCTTTACAAAGCCCAGTGCTAGGTGAAAGACTAAGTTCTCTGCCTGAGTCCTCCCACTGTGCAAAGGCAAGGGATAGGTGGTAACCACAGATAATTGTTGGCTAATAAGCTAAGTTAAATTCTGCTGAACCTGTTCCCCACTCCAGAGGAGCAGGGCAGCTTAGTAATGATGCTGCAGTTCCAGTCTCTGTAATAATTGTGTACTTTGATCACCCTTGCTTTGCTGGTAGTATACTATAATCTAGATGATGTAGTTAATATGTAAAGAGATGATGGTTAATGAGTGGAAGATTGGACTAAGTGGCATTCTGCTTCCCTGCAGGTATTATTCTTGTCATTCTAATTACCACTGAACAGCTGATTCCTGGGTCCCTAGTCATATTATTTAATAAAACGAATACCTGTATTTTTTTATATAAAAAAAGCTCCAATCACAAACTAGCAGTTCTAGCTTAACACAAGCCCACTTGCTTGACAAGTACTATCTATAGGGTCTTCCTATGTTTTGTTGAAGGTGGGAGCAGGATCACCCCATGGGTCCCACCTCTGCCCTCTACAAATGTTCATCATAACCTGTGCGAGAGCCCAAATGTGATCAGGAACAGAATAGACAGGGCCTTGTAATGCAAGCAAGCTCATTTACAGGTGTGCATAGGCTAGGAAGCCAGCAAGCATGATCCCACTCCCCTATGAGCTATGCAAAGTCAGCATAATGTGTGCTTATTCCTTCTTTTCATAGCTAATTTGCAAGAAAAGGGGCACACACTTTTAATAAACATAATGTAATCAAATTTGAGAAACTCTAAACAAATAAATAAAATTTCAGCATGTGGAATCAGATGGATTCCTGTGATTCTTATCATTTGTGTATATATTACACACAAGTTTCTAGCTCTCAGAATTACATGAAAGTGATAAGGCAGGAACCTTGACCCAAAACCCAGCAATCTTTTTTTTAAAAAACACACACAACAAAATCTGAAGGAGAAGAGTCAGGGAAAAAACTTACCTGCTTGTGTAGTTTGCCCTCAGAATTTTCTTCTGCAGTCTCTCATGCTGCTGTACCAGTATGCACAGCTACATTTCAAATGAACAAAGGTTGATTTAAAAGATGATTTATTTAACAGGCTTCTTTGCATTTGTTCGCCTTCTTGATAACCAATCTTTTCTCCACCCCCACACCTCTCAGCTGAGCAGCATTGGGCTTTCCTCAGAAACTTTGGATTCCTCCTTAGTAATGCATCACAGGTGCCAAGATTCTCACATGGATCAGAGCCAAGAGCAGCCACGTGTCTCACTCTGAATTAAAAGGACAGCCCAAGTCCAAATTAAAAGAGCCCTAATGGAGAACAGGGGCCTTGAAGTTGCACATCAATATTCGGCACAGGGATAGGAGCCGGAACAGGCACAGCAGTTCAGAATGTCCCCCACTATAAGACTGTTATTGTACTTCAGTTTAAATTATTGTAGGTCTCTTTAAATTTGCATCTTCACATATAAACTATGCTGTCATCTTTCATCCTATTTTTTGGAGGGGTGGGGGTGGGAGGGGTGTTGATGCAGGCCTACCTATGGTTGACACCCACCATTCCTGTTTCCTCCCAGAGCTGAGCGGGACCAGGGATACTCCATTATGGACCTAAGACTTATGCAAAACTGGTCTCGCAGCAAAGTAATTCATCAAAAGCATCTCATATAAAAAACGGATGCAGACAAAACGCAACCTGGCAATTTCATCAGGGCTGAATAATCCAAGGCCTACTCGCAGACATGACACTGTATCTTTCCTCCCTCTTTGCGGATCAAAGTATACCCCCCAAAAGGGTAGGCCACATTTGATCTCAGATATCTAGAAATAATCACACAACAGCATGACATTTGGCTCTCCCACAATAAGAGCACCAATATGCATTCATAAGATCAGCTTTTCGTTCGCACGCTCAATCATATTTTGAAATGCTGAATATAATAAAACGAGATACCCCATACCTTGCCAGAGTGAGGCCTCTGTGGTCTCTTAACCGGGGAGCTGATATCTGGCTCCAGGACCATAGCACTGCTTGGATGAATCCACACCTGCTCTCGTTCCCTTTTCCAGCAAAGCTACTGACCTAATTCCCATGAAGCACCTGTAAACCTTTAGGGCTTATCCAACGCAGATGTAAACTGGCTTAGTGGTGATTTCCTCTCGCCAGGGAACCTGGGAGGAATCGTTCTGCAAGAAAAAAGCAAGGGATCTCTAACTCAGAAAAGAGAACCAAAGGAGTTCTTAAGTTCTGCCTTCAGGTAGTTGTCTCTGTAATTCCAATCACTATGCCACTAACAGAATTATTAGCCCTACAATCTCCAGGATCCTTGGGGAGAAATGAAACTGGTTAAGCTGGTATAAAACCTATATGCAATAGATTTGGAGTGCAGAGATGCCCTTCGTTTCTGCTCCAGGCTGGAAGAGGGCAGGGGAAGTACTGGCTTGCTTCACACCATCAAAGTACAGAGTGCTCTGACAGACAGTGTTGAAAAAACGGAATGAAAAGAAATCACCGTTAAGTGCTGCAGAGTGATAAACAAGGAACAGGCAGTAATAGCACAGTTATTAAAATCTTCCTGCTAGGTTAGGCTCATAAGATCAAGGAAATTTAAGCATTGCCAACTTCTTCAGAGATTTCTAAGGAGGGGCTGTGGAAAAGTCAGTTTAGAATGCTTTGAGATTACAATCTGTTTTGCTAAGCCTGGAAATTTACCTGCCTATTTTGTTCCCCACACTCCGAAACCTAGGCTGTGTACATACCCCATGCATTTAAAGCATATGTTGCCCCCCCTACAAAAACTCAAATATTGGGAGTTGTAGTTTGTTAAGGGTGTTGGAAAATCAAAGTGTGTGTGTGTGTGTGTGTGTGCGTGTGTGTGTGTCTGTGTGAACTACAGTTCTCATGCGCTTCAAATGTGGTGTAAATTATTTATTTCACAAAATTTATGTGCCACTTCATTGTGAAAAGCCTCAAAGTGGTTTACAAAAAGAATGAAGTTATCAATAAAAACAACTACTTAAAACAGTCCAAAAATTTAAAATCAGTGATAAAGTAAACACAGATTAAAACACACATCAATATTCCACATCTTCTAGTCTAAATCAGAGGTCTTTCTTCATGTGCCCTCTACATGGTTTTTAAACTGTTACAGAATCATAGAATTGTCGTGTTGGGTGGTAACCCTGAAGGTCATCCAATCCAACCCCCTGCAGTACAGGAATATCTTACTAAAGCATCCATGACAGATGGCCATCCAACCTCTGCTTAAAGGTATTGCTTTGTTTTTTATTATTATTGCTATGGGTTTGCAGGAGGCAAAGATCCCCTAAAACTTCTGGGTACCACTAATTTCTAGAGTTAGTTAATGTAATAATAATAATAATAATAATAATAATAATAATAATAATAATTATTTCTACCCCACCCATCTGGCTGGGTTTCCCCAGCCACTCTGGGCGGCTTCCAACATTAAAAATACATTAGAAACATCAGTCATTAAAAACTTCCCTAAACAGGGCTGCCTTCAGATGTCTTCTAAATGTCAGATAGTTGTTTACTTCCTTGACATCTGATGGGAGGGCGTTCCACAGGGTGGGTGCCACTATCGAGAAGGCCCTCTGCCTGGTTCCCTGTGACTTTGCTTCTCGCAGGGAGGGAACCCAGGTGCAAGACAGCTTAGCGTTGTAAAAATGCAGGCTGAAATCTGTTTCTTGGCCTGGGGAGAAGAACTATCATGTAGTAGAAAGGAAAGTAATGGGCCACTGACACAACCTGTAAGCAGAATAGGAGTTTGACCCCCTCCGCTGATGAGGGGATAGTGAGCAGAGACAAATGCCAGGCTTAGGATTTCATTGTTTGATGATGTAAACTGGGAGGAGGAGCTTGCCAGGGTAACGGTGGGTGTGATGTCACCGCAGGAAGAAATGTGCCCCTTTTAAACTGAGCAGTTGTTTTCTGCAAGTGTTGCTGGGGAGGAGAAGGTGGAAGCAGGCAGAACTCCATGCATGCTGGCGAGGAGAGGCTGCACCAAGAGACGGGGGGCACGACTGCCTGCTGCTTTGGACCCAAGTTATGAGGGCAGCAATGAGAGACCCTGTTGGGGTGTAATGTTCTGCCCTTCCTCCATCATAGCCCAGGTTGTATGTGTAAGACACACCATATTTCTTATAGACGCTAGTCTCTTCGGTGCTTTGTTCAAAAGGAACACAAATCCTGGTTAAGCACCAAGAAGACCCCTGGAATCTCAGCAGAGATTGGGGTGGCCAGTGGCATTTTGTAATGTATTTTTGTGTTTTTATATTGTAAAGGGCCCTGAGATTCTCAGATGAAGGGCAATATATAAATGTAATTAATAATAATAATAATGGCAGTTGGTAAAAGGCACTTCTGGCAACTGGGGCTACCTGAGCTGCCAGTGACAGACCTGGATCCAGAAGCAGCCCCAGATTGTGACTCTGCTCTTTCAGACAGATTGAAACTCTCTCAAGAGCCAGCAGTTGACCAATTTCTTGGACATGGGAACTGCTCACCCACAGTGCCTTCATCTTGCCAGATCTAGCTGGCCATTGTGAGAATAAGATGCTAGATGGGCCATTGGCCTGATCCAGGAGTCTCTTGTTATGTCTTAAGGCCTTGCTTGTTCTTCTTCATGCCCATAGTTGCTGCTTCTTGAAGTGGAGAAGTGACAATCAGGGAAAGAGGTAAGCATCCCCTCCCATTGAACAAAAAGTACCAAACCTATTTCCAAAAACTCTTTTTCTTTCTGTTGAGACATGTCACTTCCTGTTTGATTTCTAATCAACAGCAGACAGAAGGTTCTTGACTGACTGGTGATCTCTAATACAAAGCAAACAAATTACCCATGCATATTAATCATGTCTTCTCCTCTAAAATCAGCAAAGCTAAGTATTCAAAACTGAATGTATACAATTACCCAATCTTGGCACATTCACGAGCCACCACTGTTCCTGATACCCATAGCTAATCTTCTCAGGTTTGTGGGAAGAGCTGACACTGCCAATAGTCCCAATGACTGAAGAGTAACTATTGGTCAGTCTTCCAAATATCATCTAATAAAGTAAGTCTTGCCTATACAAAATTAACATGCAAGGCTTTGTATTCAGGGTTAATTTCATTCATTTAGCTTGAAAGGGTTCTGCCCAGATGAATAATTGCCTGGTACCTCTTGGTTTCGAGAGCTGAAACATCTTATCTTGGAATGAATTCCCATCTCAGATCCTTTCAAGTTCTTGGCTAGGTGACACATACATATCCCTTATGGCTGACAGAAACAGGATAGATTAAAACCCCAAAATGGACCGTGTGATCATGCCAGTGCTTCATCTTGAACATTTGTTTGTTTGTTTGGGACTATTCATATAAGGCAGGGATGGAAAACCTGTGGCATTAAAAAGAGCAGAAATAGAATGCAATAGCAGTCTCTCCAACTGTTATTCTCAGCAACTGGTATACTGCCTCTAACATTGGAGGTACAACATAACCGTCATGGCTGGTGGCCCTCCAGATGTTATTGCACTCCAACTCCCATCCGGCTCTGTCACAATGGTTAGGGATAATGGAAATTGTAGTCCAACAACAGCTGGCAGGCCAAAGGCTTCCTATCCTGATATAGGGAGTCCAAATATCACTCCCAGGGTGGATCTACACTCATGGTTTATAACGCTAAGGAAGAAAATAAAAAAATAAAACATTGTCCAGTAGCACCTTAGAGACCAACTAAGTTTTTTCTGGGTATAAACTTTTGTGTGCACGCACACTTCTTCAGATACTCTAAGGTGCTACTGGACAATTTTTTAATTATTTTGACTGTGTCAGACCAACACATCTACCTACCTGAATCTAGAACGCTAAGGAAGAGTTAAGGAATATATATCTTAATGTATCGCTTGTAATATTAATAATGTGTTATTAAAATGTAACACCAGAGGGCACTGCAGAGTAACCAGGAACCAGCAGTAAGGGCAACTGTGTTGTTACAGAGGAATGTTAAGGAGGAACCTTTAGCAGTACTGAATGCCATGTGATGTTTTAGATCGGTATATCTAATATTCGTCTAATAATGTTACAACAGGGTAGATCCAGTCCCAATGCTCACTGGCTCTCTGATCACAGAAGCAAATGTTACTGTCAGCTAATCTTGCATGGCTCTGGTTTTACACTAGGGTATGTAGAGGAGTTCTACATGGTTTTCCGACAGCTATAAAATTTGGCTTCCCACATCCAGAACTGAACCTGGGTCATATTCTGAAAACATTGTATGTTCTTTCTAGTCAGGGTGGTTTTAGGGAGCTGGGATATAGCTTGTGGTGTTAGCACTTGTTAGATTAATGCATTTTACCTGCTTCAAGCCTTTAGAATGGGCGGGTGGCGCTGTGAGTTAAAGCCAATCGAAAGGTCGGCGGTTCGAATCCCCGCGGCGGGGTGCGCTCCCGTCGATCAGTCCCAGCGCCTGCCAACCTAGCAGTTTGAAAGCACCTCCGGGTGCAAGTAGATAAATAGGGACCGCTTACCAGCGGGAAGGTAAACGGTGTTCCGTGTGCTGCGCTGGCTCGCCAGATGCAGCTTGTCACGCTGGCCACGTGACCCGGAAGTGTCTCCGGACAGCGCTGGCTCCTGGCCTATAGAGTGAGATGAGCGCACAACCCTAGAGTCTGTCAAGACTGGCCCGTATGGGCAGGGGTACCTTTACCTTTACCTAAGGTATAACTAAATATATTCTAATTGTCTGCTAGAAATGTTTTTGTGTAACAACATATGCAACATATCAACCTTGATTCTATTCTTTCTGGAACTCATTAAACACACTCAGTCCCTCAAAACACACTCAAAAGGAATCAAATCACCGGAAACCTCTGCTATTTAGAGGATGGCAAAATTGTGAATGTGTTTGTAAAGGTGTTCAGTAATCATGGACAAAGGTTTCAGTATAGGTGGCTCCTGTTAGGCCAACTAAAATGTTACAAAGTATTGTGCAAGCTTTCGAGTTCTCTAGATGGTATTTTCTAGGGTGGAGACGTAGCTCCAACCAATAATAGTTGAGGACATAGGGCGGCATTCACCTATTGAGTCCTGTCAGCCAAGGACTTCTGCTTGCACAAGAAGGCTTCCCCATCCTTCCTCCATACACTCCCTGCAGCCCCCCAAAATTGGCTCTGGGGTCAGAAGAACCCCCAAAAATGTGCACTGGGGAGGAGATGGGGGGTTTGTTCCATTTGGCAAGTTGAAATGATAGGTCTAATGGAATGATCACAAGAGTGTGGCGCTGAATTCCTCCCACTATTTAACTCTATAATTCCTAATTACTACATTCTGTCCCCACCTAAATCACAACTCACATGAAGTCCTTCAAAGGACAAATAATGAATAACACTTCTCAGGTGTAGGCAGTGCTTTTTTTCTTAAAAAAATGTGTAGGGGTTACTCTCATTTTCCTACTCATATTGAAATACTGTCCCCCAATGAGGCCAAACTTAGTATCACAAAATATTTAGGGGTATGCATACGCCTGCATCCCCCCAGAAAAAAACACAGAAGCCTCTCCAGCTTCTGGGGTTTCTGTCCATTACTGGGGTCTCATGACTTCCTGATCAGCAGTTTTTGTGAATGGCCCCAAATGTCCAAGTTCAGAACTGTCAGTGATTCTCATGGGGTAATCTCCTTCCTCTTTGGTGACTGCTGTGGTACTTCTGGTATGCCTGTCCGTATAAATGCAGATATCATTCTTGTTGCCACTGTTACCTTGTTCTTCTTTTTAGTATAAAGCAAGGTTACTCACTTTGTATGCCCAAAACAAGACACTATATATTGCTGAACAGGCTGACACACAACATAAGAAAATGTAAAAAAGCACAAGAAGCTTAAGGCTGAAGTCTTAGTTCCAACCCAAAATAATTGGAGACAATATTTCACTTTGTAATGACAAATTACTACAGTATTGGCTCCATCCTCCTTTGATAGGATGCAGTATAATGGTACCTCGGGTTACATACGCTTCAGGTTACATACGCTTCAGGTTACATACGCTTCAGGTTACAGACTCTGCTAACCTAGAAATATTGCTTCAGGTTAAGAACTTTGCTTCAGGATGAGAACAGAAATCGTGCTCTGGCGGTGTGGCAGCAGCGGGAGGCCCCATTAGCTAAAGTGATGCTTCAGGTTAATAACAGTTTCAGGTTAAGTACGGACCTCCAGAACGAATTAAGTACTTAACCCAAGGTACCACTGTACTAGAACTTGTTATCAATGCCTCAGTATGTCAGTGGCTCAGCACAAATAATTTCCCATCTATATCTCTGTACCTCTGCCTGGTTCCTTCTATTTTGGCTTTGCAATAGCAAACAGCAGGGACTCCTCTGAAACGAGCCAATAACCCTATGTAGTGAAAATAAAAAGCATTCCAACTTCTGCTAGAGAATTAAGTGCCTGTATGATGTCGAAGAACCTTATTATAACAAGCAAGATTCTCCATAGCAATGTAACTGCAGATAGGTTTTGTTGTTGAGATCTTTAGTATTTCTCTGTCAACCACAGACCCCTTCTTTAAAGTATTTGTTCAAAATAGCACATGCCTATTTTGAAACTTTCCATCTGTCATGAACTTCTGCAAACTCTTCTGAAAAGTGCTGAAATTTACTAGCTGGCTTCCATTTAATATGAATATGAAATTTAGTTCCTGGGTTTTCTTTCTGTAAACATTCCTGTTAAACATGGACAGATCAATCTATTGCCAGTTTGTGTAATTTTTGCATCTGTTTATTCCATTTTATTTTTGCATCAATCTGCAATTTTAAAAAAGAAATACTATTTTTTAAAATAGTACTTAAATAGGCATCTTATATCAACACACACATTTCTGAATAGATTTTATCCTAAACTACATGCTTTATACATATTTTATACATCTTGGTACATTTAGTGAGCCAAGAACTACTGTAAAATTCAGAGATGTACAAAACATTAAAAGATTATATTTGCAAAGTATAAAAAGATTTGTGTATTAGGCTGCAGACATTATTGGCTTAAATGCAGCTAGGTTGTTCTTTTTTCAATTCATATCAAAACTGGTTTGGGAGAAAATGCAGGGGCATGTAGTATTTCATTTTTAAAAAAAGACAGGATAAAGGATATATATGGATTGTGGTTAACTGTCATCTTTACACCACTTTCCAAACCAGTAGTGGGGTAGCGCAAGATGCAGAATAAACAGGAGTGTATACACAGCCTTCATCTGGGATGCATGAATTAAAATGTTTAAAAATGCAGAGTGAACAAAATTATCCCCAATGTCTAGAAGCTCTTGTACAACTTAAAGAGCTAGGTTGCTATTATTACATTTATTGATTACATTTTTATCCTGTTCTTTTCCAGAGCTCAGGGGAATCCATCCCTTCCCAAGAACCCCGTGAGTTTTCAGATGAAACAAAACTATTCAGGTGGATAAAATTTCATGTAGTCTGCAAAACTTTGGAAAATGCTCTCCAAAGTAGAAGACTGGACAATTAACACACTGCCATGGATGTCTACATCAGTTCCATTGAATTCTATGGGAGTTGCTCCCAGATAAGTATGTTTAGGAATGCAGCCTTAATAAGCGAGTTCCCACTTTAGTGTACGGTGATCCACACTGGAATAAAAACAAAACAAAACAAAACTGGATGGGGTGTGTGTGTGTATGTGTGTGTGTGTGTGTGTGCATGTGTGTGCGCGTGCTAGCTTTACATATATGCTGGTGGCTTCTAACTTGACAGTGACTATCCAGAAAAAAAAGAGCTGAACATATCAGTTAGCTAAAAAGGCAAATTCAATTCAAGAAATGAGCTGAAAATAAAACAAATCACAGGTCTCAAAATGCATTTTTAAATGGTTAGCCATTTTCAAAGTACCATAGTTTAGTAATCCCATCTCAAAAGTGATTTTAAAATAGAATATAGATATATTTAGAGAGAGAGTGTACACACACACACACACAGACACAGAGTAACTAAATGAACAAGGGGTTGAGGCATCATCTGCCCTATTCTTAGTTTTACTGTTGTTTCAGCATTTTGAACCCAACTTGGCTTTCCAATGGGAAGTGTTAGGTAGATTTATTGCTTTATTGTTCGGCGTCCAGCACGCTTCCCCCTGCGAGCCTCTGCAGGTCGTAAAGCAATTAGCAAAGTTGCACAGCGGTCGTGTTGAAAGGGCAGTAAAAAAGGTCCCACACGTTTCTTCTGTCCTACTATCCCTTTATTTGCTCAAAAGTAGCATATTTACAATCAAGAATTTCCATCTGATTTAAGCTGCATCTTCTCCCTCCGTTTGCAGCTGCGCAACAAAACTGCTTTCACTTTTCACACAGCTCACAGCATTCCAAGCTGCTTTCCTCACGTCCTGGCTTACTTCCCTTGTAAGCGCCTCCTCTCAGCCTCGAGACACAGAAGGTTAACCCTTCACTACACCCAACAGGAAGGGTGCAAGGGATTTGGAAAGATGGTCCAGAACAGGGGTGCCTTCCAGATGTTTTGAACTACAATTCTCACCATCCCTGACTATGGCTATGCTGCCCTTTAGATAACTGAAGATGGCTATCATATCTTCTTTCAGTCTCCTCTTTCCCAGGTTAAACATATCCAACTCCCTCAACTGTTCCTCAAAAGGCTTGGTTTCCAGACCTTGGATAATTTTGGTCACCCTCCTCTGCACACACTCCAGCTTGTCAACATCCTTCTTAAACTGTGCCGCCCGGAACTGAACACAGTATTCCAGGTGCTGTCTCACCAAGGCAGTATAGCTTTTTTTTTTTGCTGCTGCATCACACTGTTGACTCATGTGGTCTACTAAGTCCCCTAAATCATTTTCACATGTACTACCAGCAAGCTAGCTGCCCCCCCACCTTATACTGGTGCAGCTGGTTGTCCCTGACTACGTGTACAACCTTACATGTGTCCCTATTGAAATTCATTTTGCTAGTTCAATAATGCTTGATCAATAATGGTTACTTATTTACACATAGAACTTGAATGAGCTTCTTAATACTGTTTCCATTTCTATCCCCTGGCCATGTCCGTACTGTATTTCTGATTAGTTATTTCTATATCAAATTCCCTTAAATATGAAATGCAGTGCATAAGCTTTATGATTTTAACTGGTGGGTATTTTTAGGCAAGTAATAGCTGTTTTGTTGGCTTGGAGGTTGAAACAGATGGAGAGAACATACTTGGGTCATCTTTTGATGAAGGCAGCAGGCAGGGGAAGGTCGCCATTTGGGCAACTGTGAGACTTTTGACATTTGGAGAGACAAGCTTATGGCTTCCTTCCATCTTTAAATGTGACATGACATTCAGTGATAATAAGGACTAGAGACCTCATTCGTCTAGCAGTGCAGGAAAGCCATCACATTCTCTAATATACGTTAAAATTATGGAGATATTTATTTGAGATCTTCTTTTAAATAACCAACAACGATGTAGCAAACAGTGACATTCAAATGAACCCATTAAGAGTTGCCAAATCACTAAGGAGATATATATACTGTGTATTCATGCCACACAGAGATCTTGTCCTGGAAAACAGAGCCTCTGACATCCTCAGGCCACCTCATTACTTTGAAGTTATGTGGCCTTGATTCTGTTGATTAATGTGCCATGATCTTGATTGCCTGAGTTTTTAAAATTTATTTTGCAGTTGGCATTAGCTGAATGCCGATCTAAATAGGTAAAGAATGTTCTATATGACCATGTGAAAAGAAAAGTGCTTTTTCTGGAGGTGCCCTGTCACTTCCTGTTGCCTGCATATTTCATCAGGTGCCATCATCATTATTATTTGACAGCCCTTCACCCCAAGGTCCCAGGGCAGGTTACAACAATTAAAAGAGAATGTCAAAAAACAGTTTGAAACAATTTTCTTCAAACCTAGTCAGTCCACCATCCTTTAACACAAAACAAAGAAAAAGAGTTTTGCTGGGGTCATTTCAGGGAAGTAAATCCAAATTATTATTACAGACACAGTCTTTCTAACTTATTGTAGCTATGCGCTAGTATATTACACTATTACTGCAGCAATCAATGCAATAGTTTGAAATAGCACTTTCATTCTGCAGCTCTCTTTTTAGCTGCTAATAAACTTTCTCAGCAATTTACCTTTGGGGCTAAAATGTCTCAAAGGTAGTGAAGCATGCAGCCTGGCTCACTTTATATACTGATTAAAAAAACACAACTTAGTCTTAAATTTTCCATGGCAGAACAAATACTTCCCTGCTTCCCATCCAGCTTCCTCACTTATCCCCATGGTTGTTTTATCTGATTGGTAAAAAATCTTGTGCACGGCACTGAATGACTAATGTTTGTGCATCTTACATATTAACTTGGTTTAGAAGTAATTGCATAGAGTTCAGTTTCATTGATCATTGACTCAAGCAAGTATTAAAAGGTGGCCAGTGTGTGTACATGTATATGGATGACACACATGACACACAAGAACCATTTTATATAATTATGGATCCATAATTAACTGTACATCACAGGTGCCAACCAATAGCTGGTGCTGCAGTGACAATCCATGCTGCAGTCAAAGATGCCAATAGTTGTTTTTGTTTTATGGTAATTCAGGCAACACTGAATTTATGCGGTGGTTACATTATGCGGGAGGCAGTGGAAGACAGAAGTGCCTGGCGTGCTCTGGTCCATGGGGTCACGAAGAGTCGGACACGACTAAACGGCTAAACAACAACTACATTCTGGGGATAGCACATAAAACCAAAACTGCATATAGTCAAAGCATATTGGATTTCCAAAGTTTCCCTCCCCCCGACACTCATCCCCTTTTTGCTGCCTTTAAAAAATGTTGTTTGTTGCCAAGCAAAACGCGCAAGCTAAATGCATGAATGTTGCAAGTTGCCTATATAGAACTAGGATTCTATCATCAGCAACTCATCCTTGCGGTTTGAGCCTGGTTATAGAATTTCTTTAGAATGGATTTGGTTGGTGGAATACAATGCTACACAGTCTATTTGCCATTGGGTAGGTAAATCAGGTAGGTAGACTAGGTCTTGACCTTACTATACTTGTGATATTTCTGGAGTAAAGGTTTGTAGCACAAACAGATTGCTCATATCCACACCCCCCCCCGGGTGTTATGTTTGGCAGAAAATCTGTTACACTATATCGTGGCTCACTTCACATAGAACGAACAGCTTTGGCTGGTGGCTCAGCTCTGCCCCTTTCTGGACAGGGATAGCCTCACTTCTGCGGTCTGTGTTCTGGTAGCCTGTAGGCAGAGGTGTAGGAAGGGGTGTGTGGTGGGTGCAGTCCGCCCCGGGTGTCATCACTGAGGGGGGTGACAAAATGGCAAAAATATGTGTTTTTAAAATAAATAAATAAAAATTGGGCTCACAACACTTTTTTTTGGGGGGGGGGAAATAACTCCTGCACCCACCACACACACCCTTCCTATGCCACTGGTAGCTAGGTGAGGCAGGGGCATTGGGTGCCACATGTGCATGCGCCACGCGGGGCCTGCAAAGTGCCTGAGCCACGTGTCTCTCCTACAGCTGAGGGGGAGGCTGCGGAGAGGCTCCACGCAGCAGGCTCTGCCTTGGTTTGCCCCGCCCCCATGGGCGGATTGCCCCGCCCTCGGCTGCAGGACACACGCACTGCACTGGGCACCTGAGCAGCTATGCCGCTGCCTGTAGGTTACATGACTGCAACACATTATACATGGGGCTGCTTCTAAAGACAGTCCAGAAACTTCAGCTGGTGCAGAATGCGGTGGCCCCTTTGCTAATCGGGGCAAGATGATTTGAACATATAACACAAATCCTGGCCTGACTGCACTGGCTGCAAATTAGCCTCTGGGCCCAATTCAAAGTGCTGTTTTCAACCCTTACACAGCTCAAGTTGGCAGTACCTCAAGGAGTACTTCTCCCCATATGAACCCACCCACACCCTGCAGTCATCACCTGAGAGCCTTCTTTGTGTGCCCCCTCTATGAAAGGTCTGGAGGGTGGCAACACAAGCATGGGTCTTTTCTGTGGTGGCTCCCAGTTTGTGGAATACGCTCCTCAGGCATGCTAATGTTTTAGGCACCAGGCTAAAACATTCCTCTTCTCCCAGGCCTTTGCCTGTGTAAACAATCTATGGCCTTTTAAACTGTGCTGTGGGGTATTGTTTTGCTTGTTATTATGATACACATTTTCATGTTTTTATAATATAAACCACCCTGTGATCCTTGGATGAAGGGCAGTATAGAATTAATGATGATGATGATGATGATGATAATAATAATAATAATAATAATGTGGTTTATGACTAGAATGGTTTTCTAGAATAATGTGTGAAATTTCCCCCAAGTTTTCACTTTCTAGGACATAAAGATAATAAATCCAATAAAATAATTTTTTGAATACATTAATCATCCCAACTGAACAATATTAGACATAAGGCCTTTCCTAAATCAGCCAAA